GCGGATATATACACGTGTACGCGTGGATGCTTTAAATTAAGAATAATATTTGATCAATAGCCTTTTCCCTTCAAGAACTTACAAACCTGTTGATACTGAATGCACACCCAGATCCAGAAAGTCCTCAGTTTTGGGGCTTGCAGAGGTACCTGCCGCCCTTCAGTGGAAACTTGCCCAGCAACTCTCAGAAGGCTGAGCTGTCGATGATTTGTTGGGACGGATGTTAGATGGTTTGGGGATGAAGTGGAAGTGGAATATGTTGGTCTTCACTGCATGAGATTATGCTATATGAAAGTTTGCTTGCTGGCAGTGCAAAAATCAAGGGCTAACATACTGGCAGTATCCGGGAGTGGGTTTTTAGGTGTTCTGGTGTTGTTTCATGATTGTTGAAGCCCACTAGCTACTGTATCACACTGAAGAGTACCTCTGAGGTGCAGGGAAAACTCAGATCCTTGTTTGAATCTGAAAAATCCCGAGGTGATGTCCGTTGCCCCAGTCCATGTCCCAAAAAGATTGGCGGATTTTTTCAAACACACTGGGCCCCGGTGTGAGAAAGACATTTGAGATGGGTGCATAAAGTTCATGAGTCGAGGCGCACTGCAGACACGAGCTTCGTGGTGGTGTCTCAGAGTGCGGTCCCCGGATCAGTCTGCCCATTCGGCCCATTCCATTCAAGAGATAGGGGCCAGACAGGGGTTTTGACGTCATGCCCTGGGTGTAGGAATGCTAAGATTCAGGCATCCGCTTGCTTTAATCTGTGTTTTAGATCACATGAGCGCGCAAGCAACGGTGCGGTTGAACACTTGAACCCCGTTTTCACAGTTAGTTCATTGGTTTCATTGGTAACCTTGGAACTTGAGTCGCATACGGGTTCTTGCTGATGCCTGATGCAAAATGATCCAAATGAGTGAGTGGTGCAAACTCACGGCTTTCGGAATCCCGCATCTAGGATACCACCAAGCAAAAGACCGGGTTCGACGCCTGTGCTCTGAAACTGCCCAGGTTTTGCAATGTCGGAGGCTCAAGAACCACAACCGAGGGACATGGTTTTGGAGTATTGAACTTTGTATACCATAATTAATTGGTGCAACTAGCCTGACTTGGGCTGCCAGTTAAAAAGACCCTTCGATTTTGACCGTATTGGCTAGGTTCGGAAATATATGCATCACAAGCTAATTCTTCTTCAGTGTGATGCGTATACACCTGCATGCCCACAGCAAATGCGATCTAACAAATCAGCTTTATTTTGATGCTCCAACCATCTCCCATGTCCATGAACAGAAGGAAGAGCCTGGTATGTGTAAGAAATCATAAACAGCTGTGAATGTAATGACCGAGATGATACTCGTGCCTGCTAAATCAAAGTTGTCTCCTTGGGGAACATGTATCTAGCAAAGTTCAGACGCGATGCCTGACAGTCGTCACATACTGCTCAATTGCAGCTCATATGGGGTACAAAAACGATGTTTTTGACAAAACACATGTATACACCATGAATGATAGAGGGTGTGAGGCTGATTTCATATATATATATATGTGTGTGTGTGTATATATATATATATATCTGTGTGTGTGTTTTCAATATATATATATACACATATATATATATCTACATAATAGAGAAACAGCTGAAATGTGTTGACCTTTCCTCGCCATCGGCCCCTGGGCTAAGGCAGCAGCTCAGCTGGTGTCACCGCAGGGAAGCTTCTGTATGGCCAGGATCTTGGTATTTTCCAACGTTGGATGCCATGGATGCCATGGGCGAACTGATGGCGAAATGATCCATGGTGTAACATCCAGCGAAACGTTTTTCTTGTTCTATCTTGCGGGCCCCTATGATATGTATATATATATATTTGGGTATACATACATATGGGAAACGCGGGGCTTCCCATGGAAAATGATCTAGGCATGGTGGTTTTCCATGTATGAAATAACTATTCTTCGCAGGTTCACAATCCAATTTAGGGAAGAACAACTGTGACTCACCGCTCCCGCTGCTGGTCTCAATCAAACATTACATTTGATCTTTGGAGGGTCATGATTCCCCGTTCTCATTTGCAAAAACCAGGGTCCTCGGCATATCTTTTTGCTTCAGGATTGCAGAACACCACTGGTTTCCAGCATTTAGACCACAATCCCAAAGGATGGGAAGCAGCTGAGTAGCTGACTCACGTCAAGAGAAAAGCTTGCTGCTCCCGGCAGCAAATCTGAAAAGAATGATTCAGAATGATGAGTGAACCCCCCAAAGCTGTCATTGTTTCCTGTTTAGACGGAGCCTGCTACCAATATTTTTATTGGGTCTTTGCTCTGGCTGAGATTCACGCAGCAGCACGGCTATCAGACGTACTCGCAGCTTTGAAAAAGTCACTTGGCAGCGAAAAGGTTTGATACCAAGAGTGATCAAATTGTGAGAAAGAAGAAATGTCATCTTCAATAGATCCAAGGGTCCAAGGCCATGTAAGACGTTGGATGCCCCTGGAATCTTAGGAGTTTTATTGCCCTGCAACCTGCAACAAATGGTGGATCTGTGCCGCAGGTATCGATTCGGCATCCGCCGAAGGGTCGATATCTTCTTCCGGGGGAACTACAAAAGCGTGGCCGTTGTTTGTTCACCACCGACGGACACCACGATGAGAAGTTCCCAGCAGGAGAGGGAGCTACATGTGAGAAGAAAATATGAAATTCAGAACCGAGCCGCAGGAGTGGGTGTAGTGGTAAATCAATCCAATATTCGTTAGATACTGTATATTGGTTTTGTATACGTTGTATTATATACATAATGCTTGTATTATAGAGTTCTATATGATATCAAATGATATCATAGATCAAGACCGGATTAATAACCCCACACACGGTCCAGAAGGTCAACAAGGTTAAAACAACAACATCAAAAATGGAATCCCCCTAAATAGTGGCCCATGAATCATGTATTTATGGAATTCATGGGGGTCTGCATGAATCTATGGTTTCTTCAAGGGACCCAAAACAATGGAACTGCCACAGCAAAACCTTACAACTCAGCCCCCCTACACACCCTGCACCCAGACCCTCCCTCGATCTCACCCTCTCATCCACCAAAAGGCTGATGGTTGCTAAGTTCTAAGTCAAAATTGAACGCGGTCAATTCAAAATTGACTTGGAGGGGAAAAACAAAAATTCATGGTTCCAGAGATGTGTTTAATTGGCAGAGTGGGCCCGACTATTTGGTAGGTATATTTTGACACAGAGGAGAAGTAGTGGAGTCAAAAAAAAATGCCAGAGATGTGGGTGTTTCATTCGGAGGGATTTCTTGATCCTATCTTGACAACAACTCCGTTCTCATCTATATTCCCGGTGCTATGCCCCCAACAAGTCTGGCAGCCGGCCTCTCCTGGCGCAGTTAAGATGTGAGGAGGTTGAAAAACTACATGTCATCGAACCTGATGGAAGTTGGTGTGGAGCTCAGTGGCACTCAGCGGTGCGCGATTTACAAGTCGCTTGAATCATCCTTTCACTAGGCAAATGCTTAGGCACTATGGTGGAATCCACATTGGTAATCATCGGTACATGTGTACCCTGTCCAAAGGGTGTGCAAAAAAGAAGGAAGCGTCAGTTCGCTGGCGGATCTACGTCACAATTCTAGGAAAACGAAAAGTGTTTGATACCTAAGATGTTGGAAGCGAACTCTTCCTGAAATTCCTACAAGTGTTTCTCTGTTCTTGGAGCCTACAAGTGTTTTTTCATATGCGACAAAAGAGTTGCTGCTGTTGCTGCAACCCCCAACGACCAAGGTCTCCTGGATACTTGGAGATTTGCAAAAAGATGGGACTTTGACATCTCGAAAAAGTTACCGCTGGGCCGAAACGGATTTGGCGATTTGGGACACGACGACCGCGTCAAATTTCGGTGATGGTATGGGACGCAAGTCGAGTTTCCTGCTGATCTTTGCATTGCTGAAAGATGAAAGATATGGAGACGAGCCAAGTCGAAATCAACTTGCCTTTCATAGTATACTTCCCATCGTTTCAAGTGGCACCACGGGGGTCCCTATGACATGTTTGACGCGTTTGACTGTGGCCTTGGCGGAGAAGGTGATTGTTCTGCAGCCCATGCAGACAGCGAAGCTGGCGAAGGAAGACAGAGACGAACAAGAAGACTTCTGAGGGAAGTTCTTCACCACTTTACAACATCAAGGTTCTGATTTTTCTGGCACCACGACATCACTTCAGATCGCACTTGCTCCTCCCATATAGACCGGCAATTGAATAGAACCCCGCGCTTTGAGCTAGCAACATGCCATTGGAAGAGACACGGTGTGCAGACAGCGAGACCTGCTGAGACACCTTGCAGAGTAGCGTGATCCGGGCATTATCCCAAGCCTGATGGAGCTAGATGCTCGTGGCGGGTAAAAGTGTATGATGCATTTTTCCCTCTACAGATTCTGTAGATGGACATGGGCCTTATTAGCTGATCTAATGATATGTTGCAAGTCAAGTTTATCTTGGCGCTGAAAGATCTTAGCCTGGAACTGCAGGAGATGTTTGCATTAATGGCCTCAAAAATTCACGAACTTCCAGAACTTAAAACATAAGTTGCAATGAAAACACGGACCTTTCATATATGGACTAGGCTGACTGAAGCAGTAGTTAAGGTGATTTGGCATTTGCATGATTTTGCACGTACGTCCATGTATTCAGCAGGGTGTCAACACTTCCACTTATAGTGGTAGAAGGCCCCCTGCAATTTGGGTCTAAATGAATTTGAACTATACTGGTACCTGAATGCTTGGTGTTCCTCCGACTGGAAGATTGCTTGGCTCAGACTCGGCTACATGAGCGTTAGCGCTAGACCCAAACGAATGCTGCTTCATATGTCAGCAGCGAAGAAACCTATATTATTCATTCCTGGCTTCACAGCAGTTTTCCATGGAAACCATTGGCATGTTGATGAAATTAGACTTCTTGGATATTGGACGTGCGATGATGGATGATGTATGTGGTCCCTGGGTTTGAGCCCATATGCCGGGGCCGCCCCCACGCGCATGATCACCGTAGATCAAGTCACACAGAAGCTCTGTAAGCTCTTTAGGCATGTCAGAAGATGATTGGAGCCGCTTGGACATCCATCAGCTTCTTCTGTTCCCCAATCCCACGGATATGCGATGTGTCGACAGATCAGACCCCACTAAGGGTGCAGGGTTTGGCCAGGTTCAGTTTCTCAAACCATCCAAAATTTGGACACATGTTGATATCTCAGCAACTATTTGGATATTAGCTGATATGAATTGAGATAGTTTGCATGTGTTTTCATGATATCATGAATCACCATGATATATTTGAGGCATTTTGGCACACCCTTTGCTGAGGCATGGCCCTGGAGCTGGAGGCTCCTCCCATCTACTACAACAAGGCGGGAGCTGTCTCGATAAGTGGGCACATAATGAGCCAAGATGAGAAGACGTTGGGTTTGAAATGGTTTGTGTGGTGTTTCTTGTTTCTTGGGGTTGCATGTTGGCGCTCCTGGTTTTTGTTGGGTTGACTGTGTTTTCGGGCTCTATGAGGTAGGCTCTGGAGTCTTTGGATTTGAGAATTGCTCTCCGCTGTATATTGTCATTCCTTGGTTGGTGGAGCTGGAAACTGGAGAGCAGAAGAATGAGCATGTCATATGTTTGCCAACATCAACATACATTCGTGGTTGATGCTTTGGAACATTTGTTTTGACTTTCCATATAATTATTGGGAATAATCATCCCAAGTGACGAACTCATATTTTTCAGAGGGGTCGGTATACCACCAACCAGATTCAATAGCATTCAATTTATGTCAATTATCATGAACTAGTCAACCTCGGATCCTCACATGTAACTCCAACCGTTACACAATTGCTCCCCTGACAAAAGACCATTTGAATCTTAGAATATTTCTCCCAGAACCGTGAAAAAGACACATGAACGGAATAATCCTCAGAATGCCTGTTTTACTGGTTGTGTTTGAAAAAAATGTTGACTTTTAATTGGTAGTTGTTTTTGGGCAGAGAATCCCAACTGGGTTATTGATCCCAACTGAGGCTGACTACATTCAAACTGCCTCTGGCAACAAGGCATTGATGGGAGCTTGGATGAGTGAAGCGGCGATACATGCGTTTCAAGATTGGGGATACCCAGGTCTTGTCAATCCATGATCAGCGTTTTTGGAGAAAACCCATAGTAGTCTTAAGTTTGAGAGACAGTAACGCAGCCACTGGACCACCGCTTCCGTCTATAGTTGAATCAATTGTCGAGCGTAGCTCCGCCAGGCTGGAAAAGACCTTGCCCCATGGAATTCCCCAACAGGTTTGAGTGAGTTTCAAGAACATCTACATAAGATCAAATTCATTTGTTACTTGCTCAACCTACACCCAAGTAATTGAGACCTCAATTGCTTCCAATCTCTGCCTCGCAGCCGAGTTCGGCAGGTAAGTCGAAATTCAGTGTTGTGCGGCTCGCAGAATATCACCTTGGTTGGCAACTCGGTGATCATGTACGGCTGCCCAGCTGGCTCAAAGGGAAGATCCGCCCCTTGATTGTGTTACTCAATTGCTCCCCAAGGCAATCCATCATAAATATTCCCAACTAATGTTGCAACCTGGAGATTCAAGAAAGTAAACCAGTATCAAACCACCCATGTTTTGATGATTTTTGATGGTTGATACCACCCATTTATGTTGATTTAGGGGATGGTGGATCCTCCTTCGCCACGGTGCTGCGAGGCCAGGCACGGTGCTGCGAGGCGATTTGCAGCTACTGAAAATCGGCCTCTCGGAACCGATAAAAACTCTGGTAGTTTACCAGTTTGCTATTTAAAGTTACCATTGATAGTTGATTTAGCTGTTAAAAATGCTGCGTTTCCATAGCTATGTTAGTTTACAGAGGGTATTTATATGTATTTATTGTTGTTTCATCATAATGGCTGGTTAATATATGTTAAAATGTGTAATAAGTGCGTTTCTGATATCATGATCATTGACACAGATCATTGACAATGCTGATGAGGAGGAGGATGATGATGATGATGATGCTGGTGGTGGTGGTGCTGCTGCTGCTGGTGCTGGTGATGTCACACTTCCCAGTGAATTTCTGACGAAGCACCGAGGCAGACACGTAATCGTTGGCGAGAATTGCGTCCTAAGACCATCGTACAAGAAGTACAAGGCCAGATGTCATTGACTGGTTGGTGGTTTGGAACATTTTTTATTTTTCCATATATTGGGAATAATCATCCCAACTGACTTTCATATTTTTCAGAGGGGTAGGTCAACCACCAACCAGTTGATGATTTGAGACCGAAAAAGACCTGTCGTTTTTGGCCACGGTCGTTGATTTGTAGCCCGTTGATATCTGCTGGTCAATGGAACAGCAAAGTCGCAACAAAATATGTGGAGCTCATGGGTCATGGAGAGTCGCCAAGGACAGTTGGTACCCTCTGGCAAACTAACATAGGTATTGAAAATGGCAATTTATAGTGAGTTGTCCCATTACAAATGGTGATTGTCCATAGTTATGTTAGTTTACCAGAGGGTAGGTTGTGCGACCCAGGGTGTTTATGTACGCGTGAATATTACTGAATGTAAAATGTTAGGATGTACATTAATATGATGAGATTCTTATTTGATGTGGTGTGCCATGATGTGTCATGGTGCAATAGATTGCGATATGTTGCAATGCAATATGATGTAATGTAGTCCACTGTATTGTAGGAAATCATATTACAATATAATAGAACATAGTATAACGTAGTAATATGATACAAAGTATATAACATTATACAACTAGCGCAATGTCATACAAAATATGTTGTACGTCTGTGATTGTGCACGTGGGGAGGGCTAAACCGTACCAATCCATCAGAAAGGCGCCGCAAGCTGCCCATGTCGCAAGGGGAACATCGCTTTCTTCCCAATGACCATTGGCGACTACGTGACAGTGGGTGCCAAGAGCGTGGTTTGTGCCGCACACATAGGCCCCTTGAGGGTGTTTTTTGGGGTATATACTCTCAGCTCACGAGTATGGACAGAAGGAGTGGCTTAGAGACTATCTCCCCATGTGTATTTTTGGAACATGGATGTAGGGCTGTGCCAAAAGAGAAGTTGGTCATTTGACAGTGAAGTTTGGTTGCCCCAACAGGCATGTCTGAAAATCTATGGTGTTGACCCTCAGACAAGCCTTAATGTCCGTAGCCACTTTGTGTTGTTGACAGGGATGGATGCTTCTTGTGGTGCTGCAGGTTCTTGCGTCAATATCGGAGAGAATTGTATCATTTCCAAGCGCTGTATCTTGAAGGAGCGAACTCTGTGTTGCTAGGAGCTTGCCGCTCACCCGGGTGCAGTAGGAAGCTCCCCTTAGCAAGCCGTTCAATGCCATGCTAGGTACCAGTGACGGCCAAAAGGGTGAATGCATTTACCTGCCTGGATTTGTTTTAGTTTGTCAATGTTTGTCAGAAAGTGAGGAACCCCCGATTCCAAAGGATGATCATGTTTTTCCCTTTTATGTGTCTATGTATTTATATTTATATGTATGTATATATATATAGAGAGAGAGAAGATAGAAAGAAAGATAGGTTAGATAGATTAGATAGATGGATAGGATGGGATAGGATAGGATAGGATAGGATAGATAGATAAACAGAGTGATAGAAAAGATAGATAGATAGATAGGTAGGTAGATAGATAGATAGATACATAGATAGATAGGTAGGTAGGTAGATAGATAGATCAGATCAGATCAGATCAGATTAGATTAGATTAGATAGATAGACAGACAGACAGACAGATATATAGATGGATGGATGGATGGATGGATAGGATAGATAGGATAGATAGGATAGATAGGATAGACAGGATAGGATAGGATAGATAGATAGGATAGGATAGGATAGGATAGATAGATAGATGAGATAGATTAGATAGATTAGATAGATCGATTAGATAGATTAGATAGATTAGATAGATTAGATAGATAGATTACATAGATCAGATAGATGAGATAGAATGATTGATTGATTGATTGGCTCATTGATAGATTAGATAGATTAGATAGATTAGATAGGTAGGTAGGTAGGTAGGTAGAGATAGAGGTAGAGATAGAGATAGAGATAGATATAGAGATATAGATAGATGTAGATAGATATAGATAGATATAGATAGATATAGGTTGATATAGGTTGATATAGGTAGATATAGATAGAGAGATAGACATAGAGATAGAGATAGACATAGACATAGACATAGACAGATATAGACAGATATAGATATGGACATAGATATAGGTATAGAAATAGATAGCTAGATACAGATTTGGATAGATATAGATAGATATAGATAGATATAGATATAGATAGATATAGGTAGAGATCGATAGAGATAGATACATAGATAGACAGACAGACAGATAGATAGATAGATTGCCATAATGGGGGATTTTACCGAAATTTCAAGCACACCCAAAGATCGCATTGTTGGTTGTATATCATTTTATATCCCATTGTATCCCCAGAAGAAATTGAAATGGTAGGTTATGTAGTTATATCCCTAGTGTATCCCTTATTTGTCTCATGGATCTATGGAAGGAATTAGCCATCCATGACATGAGGGTTTGAGATGATTTCCGGGTCCATCCGGAGGACAACTCAATGGTGTTACCTGATACTGTCGGGTGCTTAGAGGAACATATTGTTTGGGATTCGAATTTGCAGATGTTGCAGACCATTTTTGGATTATTTAACTAGAAATATGTGAAATGTGAGCTTACTAGAGTGGATCTTGTTTCTGGCAAGATGGAGCTAAGTGACGCACAGATTCCGCACATCAGGAACACATCTCTGCTTGGTACATCAAAAAGTTCGTGAATGTTCGTGATTTTAACTACCCTCTGGTAATTTAACATAGCTATTGAAAATGGCCATTTATAGCGGATTTACCCATTCAAAATGGTGATTTTCCATAGTTACGTAAACGTTTACCAGAGGGTATGTCTCTCCATCCAACCTGGGATGATGATCCCAAACGACGCCCGCCAAGATTCTTCCACCCGACACCATTGTACCGCCCCTGACGGTCTTCGGCGGAAATCCCGGTGTGTGCCATGCCTGGGTAGGGAGGATTCAAATGGTTTCATCCTCCATTCAGGTCGATCCATTCAAGATTTGTCCTATGAGCAGTATCACATTCATACTCATGTATATATTCTGCTCATGAGTACTAATCCAGAAGGTAAATGTCATGTGAAAATGAGCAGGTTCAGCTGTTCTTAATCAAATGAGATGCAAATGAGATGCAAATGATTTGCACCATGAAGCTACCCTAAGAAGCAGCTGTTCAAGCGCTGCTGCGTTTCATGTAGCCATGGCTGGAGGTATCTTGGAGATCTACCTGAGTCCCAGCAGCTGGTGCAAAAACAGCCAGAATCTCAGCTGGTGCAACCGGTGGCGTAGGGCTTAGGAGGCATCTACTGGTGGTGCCAAGTCCTCTGGCAACATGTTTTCAGCTACCGATTCGAATGCCTGGCTCAAAGTGCCAACCGTGGCAGGAACTCCCAAGCCATGAAAAGGTTGGCATATGTTGGCATTCGAATGTTAGGACCTTACACTTGGTACATGGATAGATGGGATATGATGGGATCCCTCAGGTACAAGCGACTGGTTGGTGGTTTGGAACATTTTTTATTTTTCCATATATTGGGAATAATAATCCCAACTGACTTTCATATTTTTCAGAGGGGTTGAAACCACCAACCAGGCGATTTAAGACATGACACGGTCATGAAAATTTCGCTCCCAGGCATGCGATCACTGAGTACAAACGGTGCACGCCTTGGAACCCAAGATTTTCCCTCGGCAAAGGCTCGGCAAGCGTTCGATCGATATCAGTAGATTTCAATGGAGAAAACCATAGCCTTCAAGGGGTACCCTCTGGTAAACTAACATAGCTATTGAAAATTGATGAAAATTGCCATTTATAGTGGATTTACCGATTAAAAATGGTGATTTTCCATAGTTACGTAAACGTTTACCAGAGGGTATACCAGACAAAACCATGGAGAAAAAGTTGATAAAGAAGCCTGCATTGCCCTGCGGTGGTTTCTGCGTTGTCTGAGGTTCCTGCCAAACCTAAAGAGCGCAGCGGCATCGCCAAAGGGCAAAGCCAAAGCTGCTTCCCCTTGACCGCCGTAAAAGTTGCGCCAGGTTTTGGTTGTGCCTTCGGCCGGGGGATAAATTGATGGAGGAATGCACAGTCCACGCGCTGACTTTCACTTTCTGGCGTGTCGGTGAAATTATGACATGTATCGCAAACGCGATATCGAGATGTATTTGGTGTGCTATAGTAATTTCAAATCATTTTAGCTGACCCTGCAAAAGCCGGTTGGAGTGACAAAAGGCTCCATTCCGTTTTTAATTGTTTCTCTTAGACACCTTCATGCTGTTTGCCTCATTTTAGGGTCCAAGTGGACCTTCGGGGGGCCGCGCCAATGTTCCGTGGCAGCATGGAGGCAGCAAAAGACAAAACATAATATGGTGCATGTGAATTGTAAGCCTGCAGTTGATGCCGTACGCAGTCGCCTTAAAAAAATTACTTTACTTCGTGTGATCCCCACCATGACATTTATACATTTTCTTACTGGCAAATCTTCTGGCATTCTATCTGACATATCTTCTGACATTCTATTTGGCATTCTATCTGGCATATCTTCTGGCATATGATCTGGCATATCTTCTGGCATTCTATCTGGCATATCTTCAGGCATATCTTCTGGCATTCTATCTGGCAAATCTTCTGGCATTCTATCTGGCATTTAATCTGGCATTCTATTTGGCATATCTTCTGGCATATATTTTGATATATCTTCTGGTATTCTATCTGACATATCTTCTGGCATATATTCTGACATATCTTCTGGCATATCTTCTGGCAAATCTTCTGGCATTCTATCTGACATATCTTCTGACATTCTATTTGGCATTCTATCTGGCATATCTTCTGGCATTTGATCTGGCATATCTTCTGGCATTCTATCTGGCAAATCTTCTGGCATTCTATCTGGCATATCTTCTGGCACTCTATCTGACATATCTTCTGGCATTTAATCTGGCATTCTATCTGGCATATCTTCTGGCATATATTTTGATATATCTTCTGGTATTCTATCTGACATATCTTCTGGCATATCTTCTGACATTCTATTTGGCATTCTATCTGGCATATCTTCTGGCATATCTATCTGGCATATCTTCTGGCATATTTTCTGGCATTCTATCTGGCAAATCTTCTGGCATTCTACTCGCGGTTGAGGTCCGGCAGGGAACACTGGGCGTGGATGGTCGTGGTTGAGGTCCGGCAGGGAACACTGGGCGTGGATGGTCGTGGTTGAGGTCCGGCAGGGAACACTGGGCGTGGATGGTCGTGGTTGAGGTCCGGCAGGGAACACTGGGCGTGGATGGTCGTGGTTGAGGTCCGACAGCGAACACTGTGGATCGCGAGTCGCAGTTGAGCAGGAGGACGAGGAGGACAACGAGAGGAGGAGGACAACGAGAGGAGGAGGACAACGAGAGGAGGAGGACGACGAGAGGAGGAGGAGAGGAGGAGGAGGAGGAGCAGGCAACTTAGATAAAATCTAACAACCCTCACCTGGCAGGTGGGGAAAAAAACATGGAAATTCACAGTCGATCATCATTTGTTCATTGTTTTTCTCCACTTCAATGGCCATTTTGAGGGACGGAAGAATCCTGGACCCCAATACCAACTCTGATGGGAGGCACCATTGGCGACTTCCTGTAGGATCCCCGGAGTTGCGATGGCAACGTATCACGCAGAGGAAGTTGGATTTGTAGATCACCATCGCAGTAAAGTGTGGTTTGTCCTGGTTTTGCTTGAGGTAATTCATTTGATGAACATCCAAGATGTGTTGGGTGCAGAGTTTTTTTTGATTTCTTGGACGGGGAAGATACCAGGAGGTCGCCAAGCACGGCTGAGGAAGGGCCCAAGCTTCGCTTTCAAAATGAAGTTCTTGGTGTGGGACCTCGGCTGTTCCGAGGAGTTCATCCTTTCATTATAATAATATATCAAAATCTGCTCAAAATCATATAAGATGTAAGATCATATAAAATCATATGAAATCATATAAAATCATGTGAAACATGATTGATGTTGATCCCAAATTTGATTTTGTTTCTCATTTCAATGTCCAGCTCTTTCAAACCTGGGGAATCAAGCTGACTCCAGCCATCCAGCAATTTGTTCCCAGGCGCTGTTGGCCCTGGTGGGTCAGTTTCCCACCCATGGCCATCAATTGTCACGTCCTCAACGCTGGAACTGCAATGGCTTGGTATTTACATATTATGTACATGTAAATAGATATACTTGCAATTAGAGATAAACTTAAATGGATATATAACTACATTAGATATATGTATATGTGGAATGTAATGGCATAATAAGTTATGTTTTTATGTCACTTTGTGTATGCATTCTATCTGATGGAGTCCTGGAATCCCCGGGGTTTTGGTGTGTGCTTAAGCACTGAATATCATAACCTTCGGGCAACCCAACTGGCCATTGTCAAAGATGCTTTAAAACATGGTGGTTTTTCACTTGCAAGGTTTGTTTGAGTTTGTTTGATGTAAGGCGCTGGTCGGCCGCAATTACCCCAGAGATGAGAGCGGTGTCCATTCCTTTGAAGCGGACGTCAGCTTCGTGGCAGCCTTATTGGTGATGTCGTGGCTATATTTCAAGGCTCTGTCATGGTGAAAATCCATAGGTTTTCCATATGTTGCCACCTGAGTCAATTGCCTGTGAGTCAATGAGAAGGCCCGAGACTCTTCAGGAGTCAGCATCCAATGGATTCCAATGGAACATTTGGATGTTCCTTTGAAGTCAGCATGAGAACAACGCTTTCCTTAGGCCAACTCTGCATCATAGGAAGGGCCTTGGACTGTTGAGCAGGGTGCCTCAGCTGCCTGGGATCGATTCGTCACATATTCACGAATAATCGGAAGTAGAGTGGGGACATCAACGACTAGCAGATACTAACAGTGGGTTTTCATGGGTTTTCTATATATATATATATACAGTATGTATATATATATATATATGACTATACTATATATATATGACTGTATAGTTAATGAAAGTTATGAAGCCCCAACAGTATGTTTGGATATATCAATACTAAGTCCTGGATATAACCTTATGGAACACCAAAGGTGGACCCGTTGATCCAAAACATGGGTGAACCATCGGAGGTTGTGACGACGCTGAGGCGTTCAGGAGATCCAAGGGCACAGTGAGGCCAGTCTGGTGTGCCTCGGTTCACGTTTGTTGGTGGTTCAACCAACATCACTGTGGGTTTCACCAACCAAAAACGGTTGGGATTTAACGTGGGTTTAATGATGGCATTTAAGTAAATGGATGGCATTTAAAATGGTATACTGTTTGGTGGTTTGGAACATTTTTCCATATCTTGGGAATGTCATCATCCCAACTGACTTTAAGTCCATGATTTTTCAGAGGGGCAGGTCAACCACCAACATATTGAGACTATAAGTGGATCATCCTCTATCCATCAAGCTGCCAAGCTTGATCCATGGCTGAGGTCGCAGATGCGCGCCCAGGCTGGGTCGTTTTTTGAGAGTTCCTATTGCAGCAAATGGGGAAGCTATGGATCATTCATATATACATGTGAAGTTATCTAATTTTCTTCTTATATGATCTTTATGTGTATACGTATATATATATATATACATATTATCTGTATGTATATATACATATGTATTCCCCATGATACGTCCTTTCTAACGAGTTATTGAATGTTATTGATATATAATGTAGTATACCTGTTAGCCAGCAAGGATTTTTTGGCATGTTTTTGGTCATCCTTTTCCCGGCCTTTGGCACGATGATTTGGTTCTGTTTGGGATGGATTGAAATTACCAGTTGGGTTTGGCACAAGAATGGGGTATAGCACCAAAATTTGGGATATATATCAATAAATGGTTGGGTATACCAAAATGTGATCATCCTTGACAATCCATTGGAGAAAAATGAATCCCAATGTTCAGATAAAGCCAGGCTCAGCAGCTGCATGCGCTGCAATACTATGGTGAAATCCAGGCGGGGCTGCTCCACAAGGGACGTTGGCGCGTTGGTTTCAGGTCTAATGCCTGCAATGATTACACCGGACTTGGATGAGTTTAAAATTGGTGTAACATGTTGGAACCCACTTTGGATTCACCTGTTGTTTTTTTTCATCAGGGTTGGCCTCTCCAACTTCATGGTGGTCGGCTGATCTCCAAGCAGTCGGTACATGTCGGTACTGAGATTTGCACAAATTTGCACTCTATATGGTCTGCAATTTGATCTATACCCAGTTGACAAATATGTTTTGTATGTTTGGGGCGTACTTGTACTGTATAGCTTGGTAATGCTTGTTATAATTATAACTTTACTGCTCATACCCCCATGCCCATTCCCTTTGTGTGCTCAGCTCAAGCACCAAGCAGTGATGGCGATTTGGGTTGGTGGTTTGCTGTTGTAATGGCATTGAGATGTCCCATAAAAATTCCATAAAATCCAACGGGATTTATCATAGTTTTCCCATGTTTTCCCACAGTTTCCCTATGACAAATTAGCCTTTGGGAAATGAACTTCAGGGGCAGCACAAAGCGATCTAAAGGTCGGAACTCCACCGCAAAGTTTCGCGGTGATCTTTGATACGGGCAGCGGCCAGTGATGATACCCAGATGGTGGGGGAAAAGGGGCGGGCTGCAGACAGGGTTGCCATGGCTGAAGATGTCTGAAGTAAATGGCTCTTGGGTAGCTGAATATTATGAAATGGTATCATATGGATTGCAAGGCCAACAGAGTGGTTGACCTGAGAATGGGTCTGAACTTCACTGAAGAGATCAGTTTCTTCTTTGAACCGCAGATTTCTTTTGTCAAGCCAGCAGACTTTCGAGAATGATGTTCCATGCCTGCGTCAGAGGCATGGACGAAAGCATCACTGACTCCCTCACCGGCCAAAGCAGTTCGGGAGGTGTGTCATTGAACAGTCAGTCTTCGGCCTGGTTCAAGGCCTTCTTGTGCAGTTGTTGCTGCAACGTGCTGCTGTTGATAGCTGTCAGTTACCTTGTTTGGTATGCTATTTTTAGACCCCCTACAGATACCATTTGCGCACTTGACTACCGCGCAAACCTTGCCATGGTTCAAGATAACGTGACTGCGGTGGTGCAAGAGTATTCATTGGCAAATGCGACACAAGATCAGATCGATTGTTATCTTGCCCTCTACAAGAAGATCACTTTAATTTGGCCAACTATTCAAATGATCCTGTGACCTACCAATGGAAGATGCAATTGGGTTCCGACTCCCAAATGGCCGAAGCTTTTGCGGAGCGCCGGCAAATGATGGCGGCCAATCACTTCCAACAGCTCTATGATTTGTTGATGGCAGATGGGGTGTGGGCCTACCTCTACTCTCAATATTTTCCCGAAGAGGATCGGGAGAAGTTAATGCTGGCAGATATGCATGAGACTTCCATGATGGTGACGATGGTAAAGATGCCGGAGTGCATAGATGATTTGGTGCATACCTACAGGTTGGAAAACTATGAGAAGCTGGTTACGGTCTTAAGTATGATGTGTATTGATTTGTTCCTTTTTCCCCCACATTTGCCATGATGACCCCCAATGACTCGTATTGACTCATACATTTTTTAGATTAGCAATGTTCCAAACCCCTGTTGGTTGATGATTGTAGGGGTTTTACTATCGCGCATATTAGTAATTACATAGGGGGTTATGATCATCCTTTCCATGAACTGGGTTTGTCTGGAAATAGATGATCTCTCTAAATCTATTGCTTTTCATCCTGTTCCCCATTGAAATTGCATATACCGCCTATTTTCAGACACACCCAAGCTGTGAATTCCTAGTTGGAATATATCCCCCATCGGCTAATCTCACCTATGAATAATTACCTATGATATATCCACCATACGTCCTAGCTATTGGAGTAACCAGCCAGGAAATACTACTTCTATGCACGCTATGCATCAGATGCGGCCAAGATGCAACAGATCTCCGAGGAGCTTTGCGAGGATTTTCCAGCTCTTCCCAGCGGTTAAGGGGCGAAAAAGTGGTGGTGTAAGAACCAGGGTGTCGCCCAGTGATAAATCACATTGAATTAATGGAATGTGATGGGATGTGGTTCATGAATACTGGGATGCACATACAAGTATGCGTGTAGATATATGAGTGATGTGATATGATTTTGTTATACATATATATATATATACGGCAAATGCCTGGGTTTTGCCCGGACCCGCAATGACGACGGGCGACGCATCATCATCACCATCATCATCATCATCATCATCATCACCATCATCATCATCACCATCATCTTAATCATCATCATCAACAACATCATCATCATGATCATCAAAATCATCATCATCATCAGCAGCAGCATCATCATCATCACCATCATCATCATCATCATCAACATCATCATCATCATCATTACGGGGGTGGGAGTTTAATATTCCCTAATATCTTTGTTGATCTTCCCAATTGCATGTAAAGTTTAACGGGGGTGGGAGTTTAATATTCCCTAATGTCTTTGATGATCTTCCCAATTGCATGTAAAGTTTAACGGGGGTGGGAGTTTAATATTCCCTAATATCCTTGTTGATCTTCCCAATTGAATGTAAAGTTTAACGGGGGTGGGAGTTTAACATTCCCTAATATCTTTGTTGATCTTCCCAATTGCATGTAAAGTTTAACGGGGGTGGGAGCTTAATATTCCCTAATACCGTTTTTGTTTTTCCCATAGGAATTTTGGGTGTTTTGACTTTTTTTTAAAATATAGTCCCTAGTACCTTTGTTGTTTTTCCCATAGGAATTTAAGGTTTAACGGGGGTGGGAGTTTAATATTCCCTAATATCTTTGTTGATCTTCCTAATTGAATTTTAATTTTCACGATTTGAGAGTTTAAAATTTGCTAGTACCTTTGTTGTTTTGTCCATAGGAATTGCAGGTGTTATGCCGTTTTTGTTTTTCCCATAGGAATTTCGGGTGTTTTGACCTTGTTTGTTTGATAGTCTCTAGTACCTGTGTTATTTTTCCCATAGGAATGACGGTAATTTGCAACATCATTTGTTCGTGAATGGGACATATATACGCTGCAACGCCTGGGCAGAACCCAGGCGTTGCGCGTATATATATATATGTGATTTGATAAGAGATAACTGTCTCAAAATGGCAATTCATCACGAAAGCATGGGCTGATTTTGGGTGGTAAATGATCAAACCCCTGGCTGGTGCCGTGCTTCTTCTGTCATATGGCCAGGGTGCCATCGCTAATGAAGGTGCTGGTTCACCGGTTCCAGTAGGAACAGATCATATTCAAAAGCACTGACATGATAAGGATGGTTTTGGCTCCGGTCTCAAGTCAACATGAAAAGCGGTTGTAAGACCCTCCTTCCAATTTTGTCCTGGAAATCTCCTTTCCTGTCGCAAGTTTTTGATCAATCCCACAGCAAGGCTAATGCTCCCATCTGACAGATGTGACAGCGAGGAGTGGACAGATCCGGTAGCTGGATGGTGCTGGTAGCATGCTATGTTGGATCCCATGCCGGCCAATGACTAGTTGATACTAGTTCTATATGGGGAGACACCATGTTTTCCAGTTGTAAAGCAACTTCTCAAGCGTCTTCAGCAGTAGTTTGCAGAGGCAATTGGTTTTCTGGTGGGAGATGTGGAATGGTGACCGCGAAGTCAGAAACCCTGGCAGAAAACGTGAAAAAATATCTGTCGCTGTGCATCTGACGGAGATTCCATGAGAGATTCTGGAACATAGAGTTTACCCTCTGGTTATTTAACATGGCCATGGAAAATCACCATTTTTAATAGGTAAACCATCTATAAATGGGCCATTTTCCATGGCTGTTTTGAATAACCAGATGGTAATTCTACAGATTTCAACGGCGATTTCCTAAGCCAACAGCACAAGAGGTTACATTGTTTTTAATGCAGCAACTACAGTAACTACACCGACTCATGGCTTTGCAGCTTTTGGAGGCTTGCCAGAAACATCGTGCATTCCACCAGAAGAACAGTAGCACCGCTCTGCGCCCCAGCAATGGTGAGTTGGTGAGTCGACCCATCAGGGATGATCTGGTTGGGATCCACCAAGAGCCAAGCCTCACGGCCTAACAGGTGAAATGTGAAGACCCAGCATGTTTTGCAGAGGAAGCATCTTGTAGTTTAGATATAGTTCAATATATTTCAATCATTAGATCATTAGATATGATATAGATATGATAGATGGGTCATCATAAATCCACTATAAACAGACCCAGATCGCTAAAGCCCCGAAGAACGCAGTCATGACCTTCCACCGTCCCTGAAAACCGAGGCTGTCCCGATTGGTACCTTGGCGCAGCTTGCCGCCACATCAGTTTCTCCCAAAAAATGGAAGGGGGGATACCCCAAAATCCAAAATGATCGAAAATGGCAATTTGAATTGGCAAGTGATGATCACCATGAACATTGATGAAGCATCTCAAATTTCTGGTTGTTTCCCATGTTTTCCCCGAAGTGTTCAGTGTCACCTGCTGCAGGTTGGGCAGATGATCCACTGACCAGAGCAGCCAGCGATAGTGACAGGGACACAACGGCTGGGGCGCCGAATTCCGGGTGCTTCAGAGGTTCCAAGCCAGCAGAGTTTCGCTGCAGATTTGATGGGCATGAGTTTCCATCAGAAAAAAATGGTTTCCAAACTGCAGGTCATGAGTTTGTTCACATATTTCTTCATGAAATCGGATGAAAATTGGCAGGTTTGAAAGGCGTTTTTCATTGTTCTGGCTCAGGTAGTGAACTTTGCCGCAGGTGAGGCAGTGGGACAGCTTGGGGGCCCAGTTCCCATGGAAACACCATGGCTGAGATGGTGATAGATGATGTCCTGCAACTCCAAACCCCGATGACCTTTGGGGGTTTATACTACCCAAATCTACCCAATATCTTGGGGATACTTAGGGATTATAAGAGTGAGAATCACGTACGGTAACTAACCACTAGGCACGACCTTTTAGGTTCCACTGCTCCATTGAAGCAGACACCACTGGGTTCTGTCGCAATGTGCAGTGAAGCAAAGGGGCTAGAGTTTTGCCTCTACAAATCTAAGTTCACATGAATCAATTTGAAAGGTCATATGGGTATATATGGGCTACCTGGCTGTTGTTGAAGCCTGTATTTGGTAGTTGGTGGTAGTTAAAGATTCCAATGATGTACTCTATTTCATGATGTTCCGGGATACCATGCTACATATATTACATATTCCCAAAATGACCTAATCACCTGGCATGTTTGTTTCATCACAGGCGAAAGAGACACTGGTTCGTGGTTTGGAACATTTTTAATGTTTCCATATATTGTGAATCATCATCCCAACTGACTTTCATATTTTTCAGAGGGGTAGGTCAACCACCAACCAGTATATCTCAGGATGGTATTTACTGATGCTATCTCATCAAGAAACATCCTGAAATCATACATGGATCATCAGAGACACAGTTGAGGTTTGTTCGAGATCGCGTTTGTTTGGGCCGTGCTTGCGCTGTCGCCAACTTCGTGGAGATGACCGAAGAGTTTGGGATCCACAGCGCCTCCGGAATCCATGCTGAATCCAGCGATGGCGAAATTCCTCATATTTCCATGGCTTTTATAATGGATGGTTTGATATGATGGTTTATTCAAATATCATGATGTATTATATGTGTATATATATAATATAAATATGTTATTTTCATATATTTTCCATACCAGTTTAGTAACACAATTTTGGTCATGGCGGACAAACCCAGACATGGCGAGGTCGGATCAACCCTTTGGTGCTGCCGAGTGGGATGGTGTCTTGGGTCTGGCACAGGCGCGAAGCGCAGGGATCACTTGGTAACGTTGGTTTATGCATTGTGAATCATTGTGATATGTGCAGGCATGAATTATGTATTAATTATGTATTAATGATATTTATGATATTTATGTGTTGTGGATATTTATTTTTTTGTATTTGATGCTAATTGATGTGCAATCGTTGAATGCATGTTGAATGCCATTGTGTGATAACATGTGATGTACCAGGGGGATGGGAGGCAGGAGCATGTCGGACATATTCCAGCAGGATTGCCAGCGGCTCCTTTTGACCAGCTCTCAAGCAACTGAAGCCACTATGAGTCGGAATGCTCTATTCTACAAGAAAGAATCCCAAAGACTATTCATGACCGCTCCAGCAATTTGGGGTAATCACAAGGGTATCAAGCTAGCAAAGAGTTGTCATGATAAGAGCTGAATTTCAAACCAAACCAATTTGAAGAAGAACCATTGAATCTCAAAATTGTTGAAATGAAATATGTGCCTCTGGCAACCCTGATCTGGACAAGGCAACCAAGCATGTTGCAAAACATGTTTCTGTAGACTGTCAACTGCTTGCGCATAGAACGACAAGGATATGCTGCAGCCATGTGGCCTGCTTGCTGCATTCATGATATTCATGGTCAGGGTTCTGGCAGCAGATGGTGATGGTGCTGAGAGAAGCTCGAAGTGAAGACCAAACTCAAAACGATATGTATTGGACAGAATATCTATCTATATAATTCCTATCTATCTACAGTATATATCCAAATATTTTCCAATGTACCAGAATACCTATCTACCAGAATATCTATTGTAGATGTTTTCGAAATGCCTTATGATCTTTATATTCGACTCCATCGGCATTTGTCAACGCAAAATGGCTTCAGTCACATCGGTGAACTGAGCGCCCAGGTTCGCTCAGTTCGCCCCCATCGACCTGCGAAAACGAGATCATGATGGAAGCTGCGGAGATTGATGTGCTGAAAGCTTTTCTACATCCTGAAGTGGTGATGTTTGAGTTTGGCTCAGGAGTTGCATTCCTCCCTAGTCACCTCAAAAGGTCACCATGAAAAAAAGCCCCAATGATCGAGGCGTCTCGAGCTCGATGTGGGATCCTGGGGGGCGATGTCCAACATCCAACACCCAAACTGGTGGTTTCAAATCGTCAATTGTAATCACCAGTTGTGGATGCTTGAGTAACTCACCAATATTCATAAGCAACCATAATCAACCGTAAGCAACCATAATTAATCATAATCAACCATAATAACCACAATGGAACTAATTCATCTAATTCAAAATAGTTCACCATAATTCACCATAATAAACCGTAGCTACCCAGTACTTCTGCAAAGGAATCCCCCACCACTTGTGATCCGCACTACCTCGACCCCCGCAGGAGGTTCCACTGTTGCCTTCGCTCAGCTGGTGAAAAAGCTCTATGTGGCCGAGCACGCCCCCAGCTGGGCTGCAGAGGTCTGGCGGATTATTCAAACAATTCAAACATGTTGAAATCAGCTAATACCATAAGGATCTACAAGGGCTGGAATCCAGATTCCAAGTTTTTCTTAAATTCATTGGTCAGCCTGATCCTAAGTATGATTGCGATTGATTAAGATTGACTGACTGATAAGTGATCAATCAAACAATACAGCAAGATCCGATGAAAGGTAACTGCAAAAAAAAGAAATATGCTGCATGTTGCACCCAGTTGCACCCAGTTGCACCCAATAGCAATCGGAGAACTCCATGACCTTCCAACACCCCAACATAGGGGTGTGCCTGAAAACAGGATGCCTCCAAACCCCCCAAATTTTGTGGCTAATCATAATGATTATCCCTATTAAGATATATTAAAACAATTTAAAGTATAAAATCATCAGTTTCCCTATGCAAAAAGTGCCATTTTATACCAGTACTGCACCAAGACATCAGGTCCAGCAACGTTGTGAAGCCTTGGGCATTCACAACGTGCAGTTGTTCTCTGCTGTGCCCAATCGAAGTGCCTTGGACGCCATCGGTGCGACGGACTGCGGCATTTTTCGGCCTCAGCTGGTCTTTGATGACGCGGATAGTAGCTCCGGTGATTTCAGAGATGTTCAATGGATTGGTTAACGGGAACATCTTAACCGGAAACTATAGATGTTCCCCTAGACCAATCCAATGAGTAGTGTTTGTCATTGTTTTTTTGTTCCATCATTGTGTGGGATGATGATCCCTAATGATCTGCATTGTAATATTTGGGACGGTGACGAACCGACGGTTCGCTGGGAAATCCCCGGACTGGAGAGGTTTGAAACCATGGGAAAATCATGGAACTCAATAGTGGAGATTCCAGCAAGCCAGGTGTGATTACCAGAGGGTATGTCTTATTGTGTTTTACTCATATATGTTGCATAGTTACCCTCTGGTAAACTAACATAACTATGGAAAAACACCATTTTGAATAGGTAAATCAACGAACTAAATGAGCCATGTTCCATAGCTATGTTAGTTTACCAGCGGCTATGTGGTATGATGATCCCTGAGGCTCATGCTAGTATTTGAGATGATGATGATGCTTAATGCATCTTAATGCTCAATGAATTCAATGATATTCATCCATAGTTGAAATATTTAGGATAGTGATCCCATATGATTCCCAAGGGTTTTCTCATCCTGGATCCTGACCGCTGTTGGTGACCAGGTTTGCGCGTGACTTATGGCCCCAACCTGGATCCAAAGTGGAGAGAGGCATCGCCGCTTGCGCGGGAGGCGGTCTTTGGGGACTATTTGAAGTTGATCCAAAGAGCCAACGAGTCGCGCTTCGATGTGGTTTTAATCGATGGCCGGGTCCGTGGGGAAAGTGCCATTGCTGCCTTACCATATGTTGATGAGAGATCCGTGGTCATCATTCACGACTGGTTCTTGGAGGAATGGGGCTATGAATTTTTGCCCGATGGCACTCAGGATTTCTCCAAAGCTGTGAAAGTTGCCCCACGGAACAGACTGAAGAGCTATCGTCAAGTTCTGGATTTTTATGATGTTGTCTGCAGGGTCTCTCCAGAGACCCATCCCTTGCGCTGTAGCCGTGCTGGCTTGGTGGTCTTGCGCAAGAAGCCGCAAGCGAATCCAAATGAAGCGTGATGGGTTTGTTGATTTCGGGCGAATCAGCTGCTGTATTCCCTCCTAAGATGATGAAGTGCCAAAAGAAAATGAACCAAGGCTCACCGCTGTGGATCGCTGTAGCCGATGGTGGGATTATCCCATGGTTTTTGGAAAAGACACGTCACTGTTTTGACATGGTTTGGGGAAATGGCCCAGGAAAAACCTTCACCAGGTCGAAGTTATGGACTGAGATCTATTTGACCAAAAGATATCAAAAGAGATGTTCTCATGACATCTCATCCATAGATGTCCTTTCCCCATGGGTTTGTTGATTACTAGAATTAGAGGGGTTTGAAGAAACCCCTTTAACAACAGGTAAATGATGATAGGTGGTATACCAGCTCCCGGCCCCTCTTTTTTTACCAGAAGGACATAAAATTGATCTCATCAGATTCAAGGTACCAAGGTGCCGTGTTTCCTAGTCCAATTGCAGTAATTGATACTGAATTCGTTGAGAAGCGGCATAAAATACTGTTGCTGTTAGTGTCTTTTAGTGTCAAGGCTTGTGGATATTGTATGATATTGTGCCTGATTGCAAGTTCAAGACCCTTGAACAACATCCACTTGGAAAAATAAGTTGTGGCTTGGAGTGCCAAGTGGTTTTACTGAAACCCCATTTCCTCCAAGACTCAACGATTTTTACTTACTCTGCAGTCCTTGAGCGACCACATGGAGTTCAACATCATGCAGAAACTTTTGGAAGGCACGGATCTGTTCTTTTGTTGGGGGCTGTCAGATAGGTTACACCTCATTTTGAGGACCCACTGACCGTCACTTGATTCACGTCAGGTGATTTTATGCGATGCCATGCACTTTGATCGAACCATGCAGGGAAGGGTTTTTTGGTAACTTGACGAGGGTGAAATGCTATCGATCATCCACAGTCTAAGCGTGTGTGTGTGTGTGCTTCTTTTTTCGGAAATTCGATGTCACAAGAGTTGGCTTGGCATGGCAGATGGTTGGCATTAGACAATGTGGCAGACAAAAAAAGGGCCCGCAGGAATGATGACCCTGGTGCTCCCATATAGTTGTCACATCAGAGAGGCAAGATGTCCATCCAACGGTCGTCCTGAGGAGACAAGTCTGGTGTCTTAAAGAAGCCCGTCTTTGCCGTGTATCTTGGGTCGGATACCCAGCGTGATTCGCAGTATTGCTAAAGGCCAAGATAGGAAACTTTGCTGGGTTTGTCAACTCAACGGAAATGTGGTTGTTTTGAGGAGCCTTGTCGAGACATATCAACTTCGAAGGACAAGCCAACCAATAGCTGAAAGAAACGACCAGGTGAACTGGACAGAGTATAGGGTAGTCGTGTGTCATGTATGTTTCAAAGAGATGTGAAGTTCTAGACGGGAGAACATGCAAAAATGCGTTCCATCATTGAGCATTTGTCCTGGACGAAGGTGGCTGCATTCTTGATATATCTATTATTGAGCGACCAGGACCATGATGAATGAATTCACCCTTTCCTCATAATCACAGCCACCAAAACAACCCAAAGAATGGTCCCAAAAACAATGGATGGAACCAAAACAACCACCCAGGCGAAAGATCGAAGATGACGCTGAGATTACCTTCGGCGACTTCCGCTCCGAACGCATGGCGCCCGGAGACTCGGAGACTTGGGGGAGATGGGGATGCGGTGGATGACTTGGTGCTTCAACGTCTCATCATGATGAATCCCAACATATCGATACAGATCGCATGATTTGATCCACACAAGATTGACTGGTTGGTGGTTTGGAACATGAATTTTATGTTTCCATATATTGGGAATGTCATCATCCCAACTGACGAACTCATATTTTTCAGCGGGGTAGGTCAACCACCAACCAGATTGATGTTTGATGATTTTTGTTGGATGCCTGGCTCAACCAGCAACCATCGATCATTCGTGGATCAAATGTTCCAAACATGTCCCCATTTGTTGGTGGCCTCAGATATCTTAAGATAGTTCAAGATAACCATCTCAAAATAGATTGCATCTCTAATGCTTGATATATCATGAATTATCATGATATATCCGATACATCCCTATCTCAATAGATGGGGCAAGTCCAATGGCGACCCCAGCTATGTCCCTCCAAAAGGTCAAGCCTCCACTGGGTGAACGTCTCGCAAGAAGGCGGAACCGGGATTTTGAGCCTGCAAAAATTGTCGAGGCAGAAGTGGATATGTGCTGGTCGCATATGGAATCATATACTGGTTGGTGGTTTGGAACATTTTTCCATATATTGGGAATAATAATCCCAACTGACTAATATTGTTCAAAGGGGTTGAAACCACCAACCAGTATATATATATATACACACACGGTATTACTGTTACTGTATATTAGAATTTAATTAATATAAATATATATATATATACATATATAGTGTATGCCAAAATATATACATGATGATATATTTGCATGCTCTTGAATTGACAATAGGTGTTGTTTTTCCTCTCTAGGTTCGATCCTGGCATTCTTGTAGACTTTTGGAAGTTTGTTTGCAGCCAGAAGCATGTGATCTTCGACCAAGGCTACTGGCAGTTTCAATTCGATGACCTCACCATCGATGGAAAAAGGACTGGAACCTGTGGCTTCTGCCCTGTTTGCTGCAAGGTAGATGACTTGGTGCAGGAAGTCCATTGGCACTCCGCGTGAACGATATCTTACTGGTGGGAATGAGTTTGAAGGAACAATAATAAACAACAATATAAACCATGATAGACCCAATGCCATAAACCTACCATTTGGGGATAGTCAATTCACACGCACCATATGGATCCAGAGAGGCACCACCTGTCGCCATCGCCAGGTGAGAAATACGGTCCTCGGAAATGTCAGGGTGTACTGGACACAGGCAGCTCCTTAATGCTTGAGAGCCAAGACAGTCAGCATGGGATGGGGAGACCGGACATCTCATGGAAGTTTTCTGTAGGTATTTGTACACATGTATTCATATATGCACTTGCATAAAATGATGTAGTATTATTAATTATTATGGTTATATAATGATTATATATTGAACTTGGTTGAAATGATTCATGGGTACATCCAGGAATTGCCTGGTTGCAAAGGACATTGGGTGGTCCAAAACCATGTCGCCAAAAGATGGTGACGCAGATATCGTTGTGAATGTGAAAGATGGGTCAAGCGTTTTTGGGCCAAAGTTGGATGATCTATTTTCTGTAATCTCAAAACATATGCATAACACATTTTATAAGTTCTTGGACCTATTAGGTTATCAATGACCCATTCAAATTTTCTGCAAAGCTGATACAGTTCTTGAGGATGGGGCCTCGCCATGACTTGGATGCCCTGCTTTCGCGACTCAACTTTCAGGACTCGCATGTCGCATCATGATGTGCAGAACCTTTGGTACAGTACATGTCCTATATCCACCTATATCCCTATGGTAAGAAATAAAATACATTATATAAAAGATATGGAACATTGGACAAATCGAAGGTTATACTATTATACCAAAGCATATCATTGATTATTATTGCCTATTGCAGTTGTGTCAACCAGGGATGTTTCGATAGGCCCATACAGATGCATACAGTGGGTAACGAGTTGTTCATGGTGACCAAGCAGTTGCTTCACCAAGGGCCTGGGAAGATGAAACTTGCTCCAGGAGGCTACGCAAAGATCGTGCTCCGAAAACACAAAATTTCCAAAGTTGGGATTCTTGTGGCAGCCTTAGACCTGCGATGTCGCTGCTTCCCTGGATGATATGAGATGAGATGAAGCAGGCTGTTTCGATACGGCAGCGAAATCACAAGAAGATGTTTTTTTGTTGGCATCATGGCGAAATCTTTCGGTGCAAAGTCAAAGACACATTTCCACTCCAATTAGAGTAACTACAAGGACCTGAAGCAGCATTTAACACGATTTAACGTGATTCAGGCATACTTGTGCGACAAGGTGAAGCATGTTTAACGGCAGACCTCATGGATGAAGGATTGGCAACTCTTGATTGAGCAGTAAGGATTGGCGAGCAGCTCTTTGAAATGGATGCTGATGACTACATCGACTGTCCGAAAGTTCCTTGGACTTTTGAGACAGAAGAAATTGCAGAAATGATCGCCATTTCGAATCCCTATCCACTAACACCACGTTTGGCCATGCCACAGGTTGGAGACTGTTGGGCTCATTTGATGCCGGTGGGTGACACTGGCCGAGGATTCGCATGGCTCTAATCTGCGGAAACCTTTGGTCGGTTTGGTCAAGAATTCCTAAATGCTGCAGTCTTCCAAACCACAGAAATGTGGTTTCAGCATGTTTCAGCTGCGTTTTGAGTTCAAAACCATAGAGTTACTGTATGGGATGATGATCCCCACTTTCGCATGCTTCCCTCGGGAAAGGTGCAGGAATTCCCTGGCCGCCTCGAGGAGCCATCTTTGTACTGGGCATGCCTTTCTTGAGAGCCTTCTACACGGTCTACGACATGAAGGCACGAAAAAGGATGTAAAAAGGGGATAAATGAACCAACAACAAGTGAAGGGGATGATGATTTTGAACCAACAACAAGTGTGATTGTAAACACATGCAAACAAAAAGTGGGGATGACCAAGAAATCGCAAGCTGTTATCAGAAGGTGGACGGGACATGTAGAAGAGCCGAACTCAAATGGTGGATTTTTTCCAGCCTCAGCCGATTTCTTGATATCATCCCTTGTTGGGGTCAGATATCCATGCACCAGGCAAGCTCCGTTCCCCTCAGCACGAGGCAAAACAAGTGGGCATTGCAAAGGCAAGACACGTTTCGTCGAAGAAGGCCTCCTGGCTTCCCGGGTTGGTTGTCACCCATGTGAACAATTGACTCGATGATGAGGTCTAGATGCTTGGTAGATCATATGATAAATATACGTGTATATATATATAATTACCCTCTGGTAAATAAACATAGACCCTGAAAATCAACAATTTTTAATGGAAACTAGTCTTTCAACCCCTATCTGCCAGGGTCTATGTTAATTTGCCAGAGGGTATGTATTTATAATTATATATATACACAATATTAAAGACGCATATGTTTATATATATATATATACATATATATATATATGTTATGTTATATTATGTTATATTATATTATATTATGTTATATTATATTTTATTATATTATATGATGTGATATTATATTATATTATATTTTATACATATAGCTATGTACACAGGTAGGAAGATGGATTTATCGATCGATAAAGATAGAGATTGACACCATGAAAGACGGCCAGGGAGCTGACATGGCAGCTGTGAAGCTGGTATCACTTCGCCCTGCTGGTGACGATTTGGGGAAGGCATTGTTGCAGTTGGTTTTTCAAGATGTGAACTGATGATCAGTGGTTGTTTATCCCATTGCAATGCGGAAGATGCCAATTGCAATGGAATCTTGTTCGTCCCATTTTGGGGTCCCAGATTGCCCAGATTGCCGTGTTTTTAAGTCTTTGGAATTGTGGAATAAATTGAGACATCTTGAGGCTTTGAGTATGATAATATAACATAACATAATAGAATATAATATCACATCATACAATGGAATGTACGCTTGACATGAGATCCATGCACTACAGTGCCCCATATCAACAGCAACAGACTACGCTCTGGAAGCCTGGATCAACCACCTCTGCCAGGATCAGCGGCGTTTGTCCAATGATGGCAGGAAGTGAGATATAGGGGTTTCTTAAAAAGGGGTATCCCCAAAAACCGTTCATATTTTGGATGATTGCTTGATTAATTCTGGATGATTTGGGGTTTCCACCACTTTAGGAAACCTCCATATTATGGGCACAAAAACATCAAAAACCATCTAGCATATGAACTGCAATGAAATGCAACTCACGAAATGTTGCAGAACATAACCATTTCTCTTTCAGGCGTGTAAAGCCTCCTATTCGATTGTTTCACTCGGCTTTTCGCAGCTTGCGAGCGCGTAGCCTCCAAAAAGCGACCGACCTGAAGCATGTAGAGAAGTTTCCGGTCACCAGCATCAGTGATGAATCTATTGGATAGGGACCCCCAACGAGGGAAGGAAAGACATGAAAAGAAACAGCATCAAGATGAAGAAGACAATAGCAAGACATATCAGAAGAAGATGAAACAGGTTATTGTTGACCATAGATAGATAGGTAGCTAGCTCGATAGATAGATAGATGGATAGATGGATAGATAGATAGATAGATACCATCTAAGACAATACCTATCTACCTATCCTACATGATGTCAATTTGGGACTCCTTATCATCCCAAAATTCCAGCTGTCGTTGACCACCGAGCCACGTCCTGCTGTCGTTTTTCCCGTGGCCTTTTTTGTTTCCAGCGCCGCCATCATGCGCCGGGCCCGCAGCAGAAGGGACTGGGAGGAGATCCGGGTTGACCCTGAAAGCGTGGCAAAGAATCGGAGAGTATATCATATTAATCATCTATAAATAGTGGATTAACTATGGTTTATGGTAGATATATATATATAACTATAGTTATAATAGTAGATAATAGTAGATATAATCCATAGATGAAATAGTAGATTGGATTAATAATAGTAGATATAATCCATAGATGAAAAAGTAGATTAACTATAGTTATAATAGTTATAAAATAGTTTATACCATAGTAGATATAGATTGTCTATAAATAGTGGATTAACTATGGTTTATGGTAGACATAACTATAGTTAATGGGGATGATAATGGTTTATAAACCAACAAACACTGGTTGGTGGTGACTGGAACCATGGAATTTTTTGACTTTCCATGAAAAGTTGGGAATGTCATCATCCCAACTGACTTTCACTCATATCATGGGACCGTAAATCCGGGGATCAGATATCATCCCCAAACGGGGCTCCGCTTGAACCCAAGGCTCCAAACGGCTCGCTTCGCAAGAAGTGACACATCAAAATCATCAAACGGCTCAGCCAATGAGAAGATACGGTACTACATAAGCCCCTTATTTTTCGCATGGCATGGTGTCTACCCCCAAAATTGGAGAAGGGGTGGATGGTTTCTGGCATTGGCTCCACCACACAGATGTTCTCGTGGCTGACCACCCTGCAATAAGTTCCTTTGAGTATCATATCTGGTTCGATTTCTGAAAGGTTTGGATGCACAGGACTCAAAAGATGTATAGAATTGTGTATACTTAAAGATAATCCAATATCAAACAGTTACATATATATATATATACAAGATACATCCACTATTACCACTTTGACTTACATACACATCAGATAGCGATTGGATGCGATTGGTAGTTGCAGGATGATGAGATCAAACCGGCCAAGCGCCCGGCCGACTGGCTGGGGGAGCTGCCTGAGGAGCTGCCAAGGGGGAAGTGAATGCAGAAGTGGATGCCAACAATGGGGATATCACCTGCCCATAAGATCATAAGGGTGATAGAAAGGTCATATAATGGGTGAGATTGAGGTTATATAATGGGAATTAATGGGATCTATGATATTTATATTAATATACGACATACCTACCTACCTACATACATACATACATACCTACCGACATACTGACATACCGACATACCGACCTACCTACCTACATACATTAGTACATAACATACATTACATACATTACATACATAACATACATTACATACATAACATACATTACATACATTACATACATAACATACATAACATACATAACATACATACATGCATGCATGCATACATACATACATACCTACATACCTACCTACCTACCTACATACCTACCTACATACCTACCTACATACCTACATACCTACATACCTACCTACCTACATACCTACATACATTACATACCATACATTATACCATACATTCCATACCATACATTCCATACCATACATTACATACCATACATTACATACCATACATTAGATACCATACATTACATACCATACATTACATACCATACATTACATACCAAACATTACAGACCATACATTACATACCATACATTACACGCTATACATTACATACCATAAATTACATACCATATATTACATACCATGCATTACATACCATACATACATACACTAATTACATACATACATACATACTTGCATACATTGCATACATTGCATACATTGCATACATACATACATACATACATACATACATGCATGCATGCATGCATACATTGCATACATTGCATACATACATACATACATACATTACATTACATTACATTACATACATACATACATACATACATATGTATATAATTTAAATATATATATATAACTATATATACATATATATAGCTATGTGAATAATATATATATAGGTATATATATATATATATGATTATATATGTATGATTATATAAATATATGATTATATATTTATGATTATATATATATATAAGTTAATCAACAATATTTGTTTTCAAATGTCTCTGAAAACGGGCTATAGCGTCAAAGCTGTAATATATTTAGATATGGGAAATAATGAACCACAGGATTTAGGGTACCCTATCCAGACAAACTCATGGCCTTTTGGGAAACCACCAATGCTGTGTCAATTTTCAAAAAAACAACTCCATTGATTGGTGATATATATATATGCCCCATCCTGCATATTTCGCTTAAATCGTTTTAAATCGTTCATGTCAAATCCCCATGGTCATTTTGCTGCGTTACCCTACCAACTTCTCGATGAATCCTCTCGTAGCCCTCGACAGGATCCCATCCTCTCGTCTCAGCTTCCGTCTCAGGCGTGAGGAATTGGCCTGGTGGGTACAGAAAAAGTGTTTCCATTTGGAGGTTTCCTGAAATGGGGTGCCCCAATAGCTGGATGGTTTATTTCATGGAAAATCCAAGCAAAAAATAGATGATTTGGGGGTACCCCTATTTTCGGAAACCACAATTTGATGGTTTTCCATCTTACGGGTCCAAATCAGAATCTCTGGCAGAAATTTCTGATGGATTTTCTGATAGACAACTTTGGCAGATGGTTTTCACCGGGGATGGGTCAAAACCTATTGTTACTATATTTGGTACAATACCAGCTACTTATATGGGGATGAATTAATACCCATTAGCCAGGGGATATTTTCACCAGCTACTTGTTGTTAATGGGGATGTTAACCAGCTACTTATTGCGTACACAGGATGCTAGGGTTTTGACTCATAGCCATAGGAGCTGAAACCTCGTTGCTTCCTCCAAAGGTTTTAGCGCCCAAATCGAAGCGCGCCCGAGACCCAGAGGTGTCAGGGGGTTTTCATGGGTTTGCTGATTTTGGGATGGCGTAGAAAATGCAAGTTCCGCCCATTTCCCCAATCATGAGTGAGATACTGGTATTGGTTCGATTTTTTGGTTGATTTGCTATTTGAAAATGGGACAAGTGAGTCATTTCCACCTTGGGCCTGACTTCACGATGACCTGCTTGGAATTCGGATTGCACGTGCCCCTGAGCCATTTGCCTTTGCGAATTCTTTGAGAGACGTGTGCAACCTCCAGAAGATTTGCTGATGCTTATGCCAGAAGCCGACATAAATGCAACAAATCGATTCGCATGTCCTTAATTTATGTTTTGAAAATGTTTGAAACATGAAGCGGGGAGGCATCACCTGCACATTGTCTTGCTTTGGGTTGCTGGTTGTTGTTTGCAAAAGGGTTTCACCATGCATATCATTTAAGATGATCAATCGAAACCACTGACATTTGACAGGTAAGTCGAAAGTTTAAACCACCAGCCAACAGGCAGCCAACATGGTTTTTTAAATGTGTTTTCTGGTAGCATTTTGCCATGGCGTGGCTTTTCCCCGCAGCAGAACAGCAGTGGGCGCATTCGTGTTGCAGCGCAAGCTCTTTGGAATCTGCCTTTCAGGGTCCAGTAACAGCCATTGAAGCTGACATTTTGATGGGTACGATTGAGTCGGAACATGGGGAGGTGCCCATTATGGCGCATCCACCTTGCAGAACTTCGGATTTGTCGTTTGAAGATTTCTGGCAGAGGTGTTTGGCAGAAGCCCGACATCATTTGAAATTGGACTTTAAGGACCCAGGGACCCAGGGACCCAGGGACCCAGGGATGGGTCGGATCTGTACATCCGGTGTGTGGAATGGCACCCGTGAAAGTCCTTTTGAGATTGTTTCAGATGCTCTGAACAGCGCGGTAGCTGCAACATCCGTGGAAGTTGTATCCCTCCTATGTCTAAGTAATTCTACAGATGTCATCATGTCGGGCTACCAAGATGCGTGCGTACTGCATGCAGGGAGTTGAATAGAGTTGAGACATTATGAAACATTCGCTGCGACAGAGCGGCTAGAAGAATACACAGGGTACATGTGCTCATATTTGAATATGTTGATGGTTTTTGTATGTGTTTCTATGTTTTTCCAATACTTGCTCATGTAACATAGACCCTCAATTTATCAACTTATATCCAGGATATCTCATAAGACAGGATGTTCAGCCCAAGGCCCTGACAGGACCTTCGATCTCTGCAGCTCTGCCTTCCCACAGTGCAGGCTTCAAAGTGCCGTTTGGCGGCGCAGGGCCAGGGCGTGTGGATCAATGCGGACATCTTGCCAGGCCCCAACCGACGTGAGCCTTGCCCAATCCAAGCGGAAGACTTCATGATGGCGGTGAAACAGTGGGCCCCCGGTGTGCCATTGAGTTTCTTGAAGAAAATTTGGTGGCACAATTCTGTGGTGCAGTTGAGGTGCTTCTTAAAATTTCCTGAGGCAGTTTGGAGATTGAACTTTCACAGTCGGTTGCCTCATGCAGCACGGGCTTCTTATTCTCGTTGATAATTTTCTGTGGCACTTATTGACTGTTCCGCGAACATTGTCAATGAGTGCCACAGGAGGTTGTCAACGAGACCAAGAAGCCGCGCCGCATTGGGCAACCGACTCTATATGCCAATTCATCGCTAGATGTCAAGAATGTGTCAATCGCTAGAGCCAATCAAATTTGACTCCTTTTACGGTTGACAGATGCTGTCATGTTTCATGATGCATCCGCATCAAAGTCTTACCACTGAAGCTTAATCCCTGAAAAAAGGGCCTATCATTGGCAGTTGTGAGTTATGACCTTGTAATTGTTTGCTGAACATCCTCGGCCAGGTGCCGATCCCATGCTGTTTCGTTCTTTTTTTGGCCTGGACTTTCTGAAAAAGCCAGGCTTGGGATGGAGAGTGTCGCTTGCTGGCAGTGATGCGTATACTGCTGATGACGTTTCCCGTATGTTGCAGGTCTGTGACTCCTTAGAAGCTGAGAGACCTGAGAAATCTGAGAAATCCCTGCTGGTTTTTGCCATCAGCGCTCGTTTGGCCTTGCGCGATCCTGGCCCTTTGCTGCAGCTACTGGAGCAGAAACCCTTGAGCCAACTGCTGTTGTGGACGGGTACTGGAGAGCCTGCCCTTCACGCATCAAGCTGTTCCAAGCTGTCAAAGAGCTTTCCGGAAGACCGCGTCGGAATGGATTGCCGAGTCACTGAGTCAGCCTGGGAAGCGGCATCAAATGGGTTCAAGTTAACGTGCCTCGCATGCCTTGCTCGTGTGGGAAGACTAGTCCCATGTTTGATGTGTAGCTGAGAACGACCATGGACATGGACATCATAGTTCAAAGATGTTCCAAGCCAGTGGTGAAAGTGGTGTCACCGACCAATCTTTCAGGAAGCTGGCGGACGATTGCAGTAGGACTTCTTCTTGTTGCATTGGTGATTGAGTTTGCATCGACAATGAGACTTACCCGACGGGAGTACCTTTGGGTGGAGCAAAACACTTGGTTGCAGTCACAACATGACATTCCCAGCAGTCAGAAGGAACTTTTGAGGACTGTTGCTCATTGATTCAGAGGGGTCAGGCTCTGGAGTTTCGTAAGATCTCATCCATCTCACCTTATCCGTTCCAAAGCATTGTATATTTAAGCCATTATTTGCCTCAGGATCAAACATTTTTAGATGGAAGTGTTGAATTGTTCGCTCAGCCAGTTCTTGGTGTTTGAAAGTTTGAAGAAATCCACCGCCTTGGAGCACAGATGAAAGGTCGATTAAGTGCCAGGCTACAAATTCTCATGCAAATATTGTTTGAAAGATTAGAAGCCAGCATGCTATTTCTAAACTCGGAGGCGTTCTTTTCTTTCAAAGAATGTTCTCCCAGTCCACAATTATTAAGCTCAAGCTCTCTCATCAGCTGCCGGCAAAATGTGGAGAAAAGTTTGGGTGAAATGTTTGAATGATGATGAACGACTTAGTCATGTCCAAACATCTCCAATCCTCGAACAGAATTCGTTCCAACTGTTGAGCTGTTGGGTTGCAACATGGCCCCAGACGGTGAAACCAGTCACAGGAGTCCAAAGCTTCAGCTGGGTTTGTTGCTGAGGTCAAGCGGAAGCCGGCTGCAGATGTCCAAGTCGTCAGTTCCCAAGGAATCCCAACGGACTACAAATGACTTGAACGTACTAGAGCTAGAATCAGCTAGATCATACACTGGACAGAGGTCGATGATCAGCCCGCTGTAGGTAATTCCGTTTCCAAGACTCGGAAGTTTGTGAAGTTTGACACGCATCACAGAGAAGTACCGCATGCATTTAGCTCCTAAAAATATCTAGAAATTATGTATTCGGATCTATTCTGTATATCTCCAATCCTTTATCAGAAGTTGCTTTCAAAAAGATGAGGCAACTGCTACTTCACGTGTTAGTGATGTCCGATGTGTCTTCCTGTCTCGTTCCTGCTTGAGATAACTATCCCTTCTAGACATTTATGCACTGACATTCTGAGAGCAAAGTGTTAAATGTTTAAGTATTCATCATTCGAAGCATTTCGAAGCCTGCTTCAGAGGTGTTGATCGTCAAAGCACAAACGAGGGAGTGATAGGGAGTGATGCTGCTCTTGTTTTGTTCTCTTCCCCAGGTTTCTGCAAAGAAACCAGAAACAGGTGTGGTTTTGGCAGCAATGACTTGGCTTTGTGTCAACCATGGCCCATCAGCAGCCCTTTCATCTTTCCAACATTTTCCAACGGTGCAGGGGTGCAGGGGAGCAATGGTAGCAACCTGAAGCAGTACAATATACTGGCTGCGCTGGGCATAAAGAGCCCCCCCAATAGTGGAGGACTGCGGTTTCCGTCACAGTGATCCAACATCATTCAGGGAAGAAATCAGATGGACACCCCGAAGCCTCCATGGCCAGGACAGGAGAATTGCGAGCCTCCGTTGAAGAAAATGAAAGAGTCAAAGCCTGAGCTCATTTGCGAAAGAACTATGTTGATGCCGACAAAGGAAACAGGAAACGCAATCCATGGATTCAACAATGATTTGGGCGGTTCATTAATTCGTACGATGCCAAAGACATGGCAATAACAATCAATAACATCCAACAACCATATGTTTTCCATGGTTTTCCATGGTTTTCCATGGTTTTCCACCCATCAAAATCACGTTTGACCCAAGCCTCAGGACTCCCACGCCCATGCAGCTGTTCAAACAGCTGGCCAGCAAGATGTGGAAGCCACGGGAAGCCTCGGAAGCCTCGCCCACCGAGGTGGAGGTGCAGCCCGACTATCTAGGAATAATATGCTATAATCGTGCATTATGTTTGTATATTACATTATATTACATAAAATTACAGAATATAGTTGTGGTGTGTGCGTGTGGGTGTAGTGTGTAGTGTGTAGTGTATTTATATACTATATTATATAATATGATTATGTATTGCGTATATATGTATGTGTGTGAGGTGTATATATATATATAGTGTGTGTGTGTACACATATGATACCCTGATGATATACTGGTGGACATTTGAGGCATCTCGAAGCATATCTATGGCGAAACATGGTGAAACCTCATGGCTCACCACGTTTCCAGGGCGTGGTCGAGGAGAGATCTGACTTTGTGAAGGACGGGGTGTCATCACCATTTCGACCATGCATATCGGTGGCCAGCGACTCCATCTTGGCTGCGCAGGAATTGGAGAAGTCCGAAGGAACGCCATCGTTTCAGGTGGGGGAGTTCGCTGCGAAAATATTCATGGTAGTTTGGAGAGCCATGCACCTGTATGGTCAATAGCTCAACAGTCAAGAGAGAAAAGCGGGTTGAATAGTAGAGAAGGATGGCCTTAATTATTGATGTGTAATATTTTTTGGGGGGGTGCTCAGACATTGTTCAAACTCACCTTGCTGCGGATCAGTATCCCTTGAGTTTTCCACCAAGACTTGTCAGGTGCAATTGAAGACCGCATCTGAAGAATGTGTGCGGGTGACTTTCTCCGGTGCTGCCGCGCGGGTTTTTCACCGGAGCCCCTCGGCAGCGACCGACAGGATCCAACCGATGCGGTTCCGCAGTAGTAAAATCCTCTAACGTGTCGAGTGGTATTGGTACAGTGTGGTAGAGTACTTGTCCACTTGACCTTTGTAAATCGTTTTTTTCCCTGGAAGTTGGTGTTGTGATCTATTTGAACAGACCGTGGCTGCTGCGTAACTGCGTAACTTATCTGGTCTTCGGCTCAGTGAGCGCTGTCAAAATTGTCGACCTGCCTGCTATCAGGTTTGGGTTTACAACGAGGTAGCCGGATTCGGATACAGGGTTTCACTCGATTCGTGCGAGATGGCATTGAGGACGCTCGACCAGCATCACTCAAGTCGGCTATTGTTTGAGTCATGCTAACCCATATATACATTTAATTACATACTATATTTATAAACATAGATATACTAGATATACTCTACCCATCTCCACCGGCTCTTGTTTGCCGATCACCACCAGTGAAGGTTGGAAAAAAGTGCATCAGATATAGACCGTTGGAGCAATGTGAGGCTTTATTGCGGTGAGTGAAAGTCCGATCTGAAACGTCGACCTTTCCACAGAGCTTTTTTGTTGTGAATTGAGTTTTGTCTTGGAGACTCCACACAGACATCATCAGTAGCCACATTTCCAAACCATACAGTAACAATCATAATCATAATCATGATCAACAGTAATGATCCCATTTTCTAATCACTGGACTTACCATTTTCTACTCCTAAAGTAACCCGGGCGTAATCCGCCTATTTGTTATAACCCAGGCGATCCGTAAGCCGCCGCCAGCGTCAAAAGCTGGCTGCAGGAGCTACGCTTGGAAGATGTGCATCCAGGAGGGCCTGAGGAATCCTGAGGAGTTGGTGGCAAAGTAACCATCATCCAGGTTGCCAACCATAAATTCATTGTTGATTTTATTCAAATGAAACAAAAAAATAACTGAAAGATTCAAACAAACCAAAAAAAGCATGATCAATTACTAGTTTGTAATTACAGAAATAGTGAATTAATAGTGATAAATGAAGAATATCGGCATGGGTTGGTTTGTTTTAATTTCAAATATCCAATATGACGGTCATATGATGTGATATTGCCAAACAACTAGGATGGTGGTGACAAATGATTGTGTTGATTTTCCAAGCTGAAGGAGGAGGATGATGATGATGATGATGGAAAGTTCCTACCACAGTAGACATGATGCTGAAATGTGTTCACTTCAGGAGTTTCTGTGAAAGTTCTTGCAACAGCAGCTATGTCCGAATTCTCAGCACTGCTGATCTCTCCGATTATGCCCAGAGTTTGATACCAATAATATTCTGGTTGGTGGTTTGGAAATGTTTGGAACATTTTTTATTTTTCCATATATTGGGAATAATAATCCCAACTGGCGAACTGGGTAGGTCAACCACCAACCAGTTCAATATACCAATCGTGCCCTTCGCTGTATTCCCTCCATGTCATTTTTTTGGAGCTGCATGGGATGATTGGGACGAAACCGCCTATGGCATTTTCAAATCCTCATTTCGTAGTGAAAAGACCATGGAAAAGACAATGTTCAATGCGTAGATTCCCATCAATTCCCCTAATTTCCAAGCAAGTTTATCAAGTTTTACATAAGTTACCAATAGGTACCATAAATTCCCATGAATTCACCATAAATTCCCATGAATTCCCATGAATTCCCCCATGTTCACGTCTGAAAAAGACCATGTCCAATGGCTAGATCACCTGGTCGAGGTCTCAGTCTAAGGAGGTGCTGCAACTCAGAGATCTCCAGGCGCACTTGGCCAAGGCGCGGAGATCTCAAATATTTCTCAAAAAAAAGGTTGCTGTGTATTAAATAGACAATCATTATATGTATGTATGTATAGTTATATATATAACTATAGATATAACTATAGATATATATATATATATAGATCTATAACTATAGATATATATATATATATAGATCTATAACTATAGATATATATATATCTATAACTATAGATATATAAATATAGATCTATAACTATAAATATATATAGATCTATAACTATAGATATATATATATATATAGATCTATAACTATAGATATATATAGATCTATAACTATAGATATATATAGATCTATAACTATAGATATATATAGATCTATAACTATAGATATATATAGATCTATAACTATAGATATATATAGATCTATAACTATAGATATATATATATAGATCTATAACTATAGATATATATATATATAGATCTATAACTATAGATATATATAGATCTATAACTATAGATCTATATATATATAGATCTATAACTATAGATATATATATATATATAGATCTATAACTATAGATATATATATATATAGATCTATAACTATAGATAGATATATATACATATATATCAATGCTATAGGAATTGTATAGAAATCTGTAGATCTCTATAAGTGTGTGTGTGTGTAGACAGAGCCCTCGTGCAGTCGCAGGTTAAGAAAGGTGAGGCCAAAGCTGTCGTCACCGTGGAGGTGGGCGGCAACTCTATTGGATGCCAATGGGATCCTATTACTCTTTTAACACTGATCAATAATGATTATATACTAATGTTTAATGTTGATTAATAATGACTAATAATGATCAATAATGATTGATAATGATTGATAATGATTGATATTGATTAATAATGATTAGTAATGGTTGATCATGATTGAAAATCATTGATATTGATAACTAATGATAAATAATGATTGATAATCATTGAGATTGATTACTAATGATAAATAATAATTGATAATGTTGATATTGATTAATAGTGATTAATACTGAATAATAGTGATTGGTAATGATTCTTCATGATTGATAATGATTAATAATGATTGATAATGGTTAATAATGACTGATAATGGTTAATAATGGTCAATAATGATGGTTAATGATGATCAATAGGATTTAATGGGGATACCCTCTGGAAATCAAACGGGCAATGGGAAAATGATTGAACTAAATGGTGGATTTTTCAATGCGACCTTTGACTATCAGAGGGGGAATAGCTATGGTGATTAAACTATGAAAGATTGGATATACATGGTGGTATCGTGATATAAATGGAATTCAATCGGGATAAAAATGAAGATTTAACTATCAAAAGTGCAAGTATCAGAATGGGGGGCCATAATGGGATGAAAAGCGGATTTATGCGGAAAATCAAACATGCCTAGCAACTAAACGGATCTAAATGAAAATCTTGGAACTAAAGAACAGGTAGACTCAAATCATAGTACTCTTGCCATAGTCACGTTTGACATCTTAACTGAATCATAAATACTCTGGACACTTCAAGCTCCTCTTTTGTGTGTGTGCGCTGCGGTGGGTGAGTGTTTGTTTTGTTTGCCGCGCAAAAGAAACCTTGATATTAAGATATCAAGTGCATACCAAATATGTGTATATATATATATGTATCTATACATATATGTATGTATACATATGTCGATTTTGACCTGGTGTTTGGGCAGATGCATGGTGTGTTCTCGTTCTGGGAGGCAATATGTCCGCTATCATTTGGATTTTGCATTAGGCGACACATCACAAGAAAAAAACGCGATGCAGCGTTATCTCTGGGGGGAGGCCATCGCCAAACACATCGGCAAGCTCGAACATGAAGAGCCAGTGACCTACGTGGCGTTTTCAGGGACAATCAGAGATGACGTTTGAAACGTTGAAGCATTTTGACCCAGCCATTAACCAGCTACTGGTAGTAATTGATTGACGATGAACATACGGAGCTTTATGTTACAATATGTTACAACCACTTGTGGCTGGAATTCTGGTCGCCAGGCTGCATTCCCTGAGATGTATGGCTCGTAGCCGACTAGTTATCCATCTTGGTCTTCAAGGAAAGCATCAGAAAGGGCAAATATTTGGATTATCATCACCACAATAATACGTGAAATATGAATTTTGAATTATGGACTATCATCACCATAATTGTCATGTTTATTTGGATTATCATGATGATCTTTGGATTCGGATGATGATCATCACAATAATCACCTGCAGCATGGCCTTGATCATTGTCCCATGGCCATAGGCTGGCGATGCAACCTGGCGAGTTTGTCTCCATCCGCACCATAGAGCTGCATCCTCAAGGATGTAGGGCATACAATCCCTCCCCAAAAAGAAAATGTAGATTCCATGTATTGTTTACCATGGTCTTTGAATTTCTTGCCTAGGGGACAACACCGTAATTTTTTGGAAAAATATTGACAAACGTGCATATATATATATGTATATATATATACATATTTATATATATACATATATATATATATATACATATTGTTTACATTTTTTACATATGGAATAATGTAGATAACAACATGCCATCCATAGCCATCCATAGAGATGATCTCCCCATCTTGTCAACCGATCAAGGCTTCACGACACTGATTCGCCTGCACCTTGCTTCTGGCGGCTGTGGGATTCGCAGGCCCCAGTTGGAAACTGGAAACTGGGAAAGCCATTTGCTGAATGGTACTTGTTAATGGTATAACATTGGGCCAATGGAGAATTATAGATATTCTAGCTTTTTAATTAGAATCAATCTAAAAAGTAAAAGTGAGGAAAGTGTGGCTGACACATTTTGGGAGACGCCTGTGCCGGAGAACAGCAAAGAAAGTCCACGATGCAGGCAGAGCAGTTCGGAGAAACCTTGTTGGGCTCGACACTGAGAGCGTTGAACATCATTGGAGCATTGGGTGGTTACAAGAACTCGTTCTTGCTGCCTGGTTTCCGATCGTCTTTCTCATTGGAAAGACAAGGGTATGGATCAATACCTATAGATACATTTTTAGTGGGATGAACATCCATTTACCAGCTATTTTGGGGTTCACCAGGGGTACAAGGTTTTGACACACTGCCACAACAGTTTGGTTGTCTGAACAATAACTGAGTCACTGGAGATTTACTGCACAACCAAATCTATTGCTTCTGCAACGCACCTTGCCAGATTTTGCATGTGGTCAGACTTTGCAAATCAGTTAGTTGGCACCGGGTTCTTCAAAAAAAGCAGCCATCCTGTCACAGAAACTTGCATGCCCCCTTTCCCCCAATTCAATGTTGTTACGTCGCTTTGCTTGGAAAGGCCTTTAAAAAAAAACAGCCATTTCGGTTCGGATGCCGGCATGCATTGGGCAACAACATTGATCAAGGGGGCGCGGGGGGATCAGGTGATGTGACAACATGTAGGAGGATGGCTGGTTTTTTTGAAGAACCCGGGGAATATTTTTTTGGTTTATGGATGGGCAAACACAAGCTTGAACAAACACCCTTTTGCACGTGCCAAAACCTCAATCCAAACACACTTTCATCTTCAAAGCTGCTACCCACCAAACAAAGAAGCAACAGATATGTTTTTTGGTTTATGGGTGTGCAAACCAAAACACAGTGCACGGCCACAAAACGCTGTAAATACCATGTGTTTTCCCAAAAATAAAAATGATGAGAAAGCACAAAAAAGACAATGTGTTTGTTTTTTAGTGTAAATTGCCCAAAAAACTCTAACCCCATGGTATTTACAGCGTTTTGTGGCCGTGCACTGTAGCTTGCACTGTGCGTGCGCTGCACGTGCACTGTGCAAAACATCCAGTTTGTACAATTCTGCTTCTGGACCCGTGCAGGCACATTCTTTGTTTGTGGGTAGCAGCTGTGAAGATGAAAGTGTGTTTGGATTGGGGTTTTGGCACGTGCAAAAAGGAATTTGTTCAAGCTTGCGTTTGCACATCCATAAACCAAAAAACATATTATCTGTTGCTTCTTTGTTTTGTGGGTAGTAGCTTTGAAGATGAAAGTGTGTTTGGATTGAGGTTTTGGCAAGTGCAAAAGGGAGCTTTGCACATCCATAAACCAAAAAAATCTTTCCCGGACTGAGTCCGGTATGTCAAGTGAAACAAGTACTGCAAGAGATAAAACGATATGTAGGATGATGTAGGGGAATGCAGGGGTATTCTTTAAGTTGCATCCTCCGCTGGTTGACGGTATGGAGACGTTTCAAGCATTCGCAGCACTCACCATCCACATCTGGGACGTAAACCACCAACCAAGGGACATGCAGTACGTACCAGTAGTACCGCACAAGGCGGTGGCGGAAGGTGATAGGAACCTATAGGAGAGGTGAATTGTTGTCATGTATGAATAGCTGAGCGAATCCAGTGGTGGACCGAAAGGTGTTTGGAGTTGCGCTTTTAGGAATGGTTGCTGTGGTCACCTCACCCACACTGCTGGACGTAGTGTGTTGTAGTTGTAGTTGTAGTGTAGCTGTAGTGGTATTCGTACTTGTAGCTGTAGTTGTAGTTGTAGTTGTAGTTGTTGGCTGTAGTTGTTGGCTGTAGTTGCTGGTTGTAGTTGTTAGTGTAGTGTAATGTAGTGTAGTGTAATGTAGTGTAATGTAGCGCAATGTAGTGCAATGTATATAGTGTAATGTACTGTAATGTAGTGTACTGTAGCGCAATGTAGTGTAATGTAGTGTCATGTAGCGTCATGCAGTGTAATGTAGTGTCATGTAGCGTTATGCAGTGTAACGTAGTGTAATGTAGTGTAGTTTGTTATAGTTGCAGTTGTAGTTGCAGTTATAGTTGCGGTGTAGTGGTAGTTGTAGTCGTGCAATGTAGTGTCACGTAGTGCAGTTGTAGTTGTAGTTGTAGTTGTAGCTGCAGTGTAGTGGTAGTTGTGGTTGTAGCTGTAGCTGTAGCTGCTTTTTGCGCGCTTCGCGCCACAACAGCGTGCACTTTTTTCACATCTCAACTTCCAAAAGTGCTCCGAACATGGTGTGTTTTGAACGTGTTGACTTCCAAATGTGCTTCGGCCCACAACGGCATGCAATTTTTCAGCGCTCCTCTCCCAAGATGGCTCCGCACCTGCCGCTTTAGCGAGCATACTTTTCGACCCTCCGGAACCACAAAACATTGGAAAAACACTGCGTGTCGAGAATTTTCTACCTTTTTGTCTTCTTTCTTCTGACCCTTTCTCTTCTCTGATCTTATTTCTTCTCTTCTCTTCTCTTCTCTTCTCTTCTCTTCTCTTCTCTTCTCTTCTCTTCTCTGACTCATTCCACCTCTGCTGCTTCATGTGTCCATATCATCGGAAATTTGACTTTTTGAATTTCCTTCGCCTATTTGCCCAAACATGGTTAATTGCTACCCCAACGCTTCACTGTGCGGGCTGTACTAACATCCCAATATTTGCGTCATGGTCGGGACTTCCATGGGCGCCTTTTCCATCTCGGTGGATGGTAATATAAATTCATTAATTAATAGTGATTTATGCTTGGTTTATATTGATTTTCAGTGTGAGTTCAGGATTCCCAGCATTTCCCATGGTAGGATGGATGACCACACCACGTCTATCCCAAAAACGACGAACTTGTTGACGCGAGGTCGCCGCATCCTCATCAGCAACGCTCGTGTACGTGAAGCCCACGGAAGACCAGAGCTGACCGGATGTGTGACTCCGGCGCTGGGTGGGAGGGACGGCTGGAGTTGAAACAAAGTGGCCACAATGGATGAAACAATGATGCGATTTGTGTTCGGCCAGAGTCACACTGGCCATGGGATTTTCCATGATAGGATTGTGATTTTATATGATTTTATCTAAATCAATGGCCACATTTTTAAGCGATGAGATTCTCCAATGATTTCTTGTGGCGATGCCATCGAAACATCATGGGACTGTCGGATACTGTCCGAATGTTTCCGGAGTTTGTTCCTAGGGCTGATGCAGTCAATTGCCCTGTTTGTCATTGAGGCAAGCATGAACATTAGAAGCGCAGTTTGAGACGCTCGCTGTGATGTTCAGCAAATTCATGCCACAAGGGTGGTTTCGGTTTTTGCTGCGATCTTGGCAGATTGAAGACTTCGTTTCAAGTAGTTTGATTTTCCTGGTCCTAGCAGCTATAGTAAATAGAAATGAGCGGCCAAATCAAGCAATTACTTAATCACCACATTGTCGAGCAAGCGCAAGAATCTCAGAATCTCCATGTAAACCCATTGGATGTCGCCGAGCCACTATGCATGCAAATTAAATGACGTTCTGCACAGTATGCACCACCGCAAGTTCATGTCTTTGTTTGTGCATTTGGAGTGTTGCTGGTAGTGGTGCAGACATTTGACTGTTCCGCCAGTTTGGTTGAACACGCTCAAGGTTTGTTTCCAAGCTGCGCATGCTGCGTGCGGCAACCGGGTCGATCTAGGGGAGTGGATCGAGAAAAAGTTGCAACGGCCAGAGAAGAGGTTCCCAAAACTGGAATGGACAAGACTGACAAGACCTTGATTTCTCACCAAGCATTCATATCAAAAAGCCTGACAATCTGGTCGGTGGTTTCAAACATTGTTTATTTTCCATAATATATGATATGGAATAATCCTTCCCATTGACATATATTTTTCAAGATGATAAAAACCACCAACCAGATAATGTATGGATTTGATTTGGTTTTCCCACAATTGAAGAGTCCACTGCCAGAGCTTCTCCAAGAGATGCGCCGCTTCTGTTCGTTGCCACGACTGTACCGGCTCAGAAATTCGACTCATTGATGAAGCAGAGTTCTTTCCACACAACCAAGGTTCAACATCATCGCACAATATCGAATGATGTACTAACTTTGAGAAGTAAGAAGACGTTGTATACTCCGCAACTTCGCGATGGCTTGCATCAATCTTATGATTGAGTGATCTTAATTTTTCTATAATTGTCACGGTGTCCTTCCCAGGAATCTGTCTGAGCCATGCCTGTGGGCTTCGGGACCTTGTTGGCAGGAACCCACTCAGGTGGGCAGTGTTCGAAGCTGTATGGAAGAACCTAAAGTATGTTGCTGTTAAAGTTAAAGTATGCTCTGCTAACGCGAATTTACAAAAGTGATATTATATATATATATATAAATATATATATATGTGGGTTGCAACTAACGACTACTAAATACTTTGACAACCAACCTATCAAGCTCGTCCCCCCAAACTTGATCAAACTTGCGTGACTGCGCCAAAAAGTTGTGGTGCTAGGTCCGCTAGGTGGTTTCGTATGCTTTCGTTGGTTCACAGCGATGTCGTGGAGGTTTGTTTCGTGATCTCGCCGTAAGGCATTGATGAAAGCATCAAGAAAGTCATTGAGTCCAAGGCTGATTTGGCAGATCTTTGGACCAGGCGACAGTTTTTTTTCGACGCGACTGTGGATGAAGTCCATGAGATTTCGGGGGTTTGGCGAAAAACCATGAAAAACCGCTCAATGAACTGGATGAGTTCACGCATCTGTTGATCTGTTGATTTCCCTTTCACAAACTTTCTTCAAGGCACTTCTCTATATGTTCGTCTTCAGATCCACTGCCAGAGATTAATTTTGAGGAAGTCCGGAACTCAAGTGCCGCTGTGATTGTTTTCAACATGTTCTAGACCTAGAGACGATCGAAAATCAAGGCGTTGTCGTCATTCGATTCCAGATCTGTAGAGTCAAAAACACGCCAAATGAGTTCACTGCCCATTCTGCCATTGCACAGAGTGCATCCACAAAACTATGATATGTAGTGTTTTGAGATTTGGTAGACATCATTGCAGGCACAGGATTTGACGATGCATCTCACATGGAATTTTCTTCACCTAAATGCAAAAGATGGCGAAGAACTCATAGCAAACCCCAAAAAGTATTCTAGCAGATGTTGGCGATTTTAGGTGTATTGGTGGTTTACAGGCGTGAACAAATTCACAGCATCAATAAAGGTGGCTTTTAAGATGCCACGAGTGCCAGAGCCACCAAGGAGGTGGTGGTCTGCGTTTTCGCAGGCGAACAAGGCGGGTGGTTTGCTGCTGAAATTTGATGTTTGTTTCAGTTCAGTGACAATGAAAATCAATGAAATATGCAAATATAGTGACATGATGTGAAATGATGATGAATATGAAAATATATGAAATATGTACAACAACCCGTTTTAAAGCAGGATGTTGGCTGAAAGTTATCACCTTGGAGGCTCTGGAGGTTATTCCATCTCAGTAAAGAGCATTGAAGACACAGATGAGCGGAAGATTGGCGTGGAGTTCACTTGCCCTGGGGCCACGGCAATTACCACTTGTGCTCTGACGCAGCCACATCACGTCATTCGGATGCCAAAGACATCTCTACCTGTGTCCTTCGTGGATATTGAGACAGCAGCTGAGCCATCGTCCACGGGAGTTCCCACGAGATTTCTTCTGACCTTTGAGGGAACTAAAGAGTTGAAGGCTGCGGAGGAGGCGGATGCGCAGCAGATTTGTTTGATTTCATTTGCATCAAAGGTATGGCAATTCCAACGTAGCTGGAAGAGGCAACCCCAACAAAGGGAGACCCCTGCAAGTCCCGGAGTCTCAAAGTCCGTCAAAGACTGTCTGGAGCAAGTTGGAGTATTGTGACATGAGTGACTCGGAAAAGTCGAAGTTGTTGAAGTCAACCAATGAGGTTACAGCAGTTTCAACACCAGTCGGGTTCTGCGTGGTCTCTAAAGCTTGGTAGTATGCCCCCAAAAGATCCCAAACGGATAGAATAGTCATGAATAATCATTCCTTACTGGTTGGTGGTTTCAAACATGTTTATTTTCCATCATATATGGGATAATCCTTCCCATTGACTAGTATGTTTCAAGATGATAAAAACCACCAACCAGCTTCGTATTTTGACGGTGACCCCAAGACATCATCCTGGATGCTTCAGCGGAGGTGAAGGGCTTAGATGGTGTGCTGGAGACAGAGGCCATGTTGGACGGCCGTCTTCTGGTTGTGACCGTCAAATCCAGGTAGCTTGCCAGAGCGAACGCAGGTTGCTCCCCAAGACCTTCCCATGACAAGGTAGTTGGTTTATACAAGTAACTCCAAAAAGAAGAACTTGTGATAGATATATCGAACATTATCGAACTAGTTAATGGGGTACCTTGTAAGATTTTTTGATATTTTTTGTAAGTATTCCCCAAAGATTCCCCAAAGATTATAACTGGTATTCCTCATGGCTGTACAAAGCCAACAAACATCACCTTCGGGGCACCACCTTGCACGATATTCGCTTGGTCTCCTGGGGTTGACTTGTTAGCCAAGGTTCCCTCTGCGGAAACAACTGGAAAGTGTGGATGGAGTGCAGCATCTTGGCTGAGCCACTGCAGTCTTGATATATAATGATATATATATATATACACATTTATTTGCGCACCGATATACACCGCACGTGTATGTATAACATATATATATATTGTAGATATGTATATTGTAGAAATCGTACTGATATATATATATACTGGTATATATTGTAAAATGTATGTATTGTATGTGTATATATATACATACACACACACATGCATGCATGCATGCATGCATGCATGCATGCATCCATGCATCCATGCATCCATGCATCCATGCATCCATACATCCATACATCCATACATCCATCCATCCATCCATACATACATACATACACAGTTTGGATTATAAAAATGTCGTCTCTGCGTGTTCTTGATCCATAGATTGCGATTAATCATGAGTGGTGAAAAATGTTGGTAAATTGTCCCATGTACTTGTCCCTTTTTTGAAGCGTTCATTTTATGGATCGAAGAAAACTCCATGTGTCTCCTATCGCCCAGGAGTGTCGAGATCGATGGCTAAGCGGATAGTGCGCCGCAGCGCACCAAAGCGGTATCACTGCATTGCTTCAGATCACTTGAATCCGAAGAAAAGGCCATGAGCAGGGATCCGATAGGATCCAAAACATCAGGTCTGATTTGTGTAGGGGTTCAATCTTGGCTTCACTGCCAAGGTTGGGATTTCTCGGATTCAAAGATCCAGGTCAACATCCAGGTCAACATGTTCTGATCAATGTTTGGGTACGTTCAAAACGCGCAGCACCAAAAACGGCGATAGCGTTGCAAGATTTTCCAGTGAGCTGGACCGGATCCTGCCCCTGCTCTTGCAGCCATTAAATGTAACAGTAGGAGAGCTGGCAGAGACCATTTGCATAACAAAGCATCACAGTTCAAAGGAGAATGATTCAGTGCATAACTGATTTACAAGACAGGAGTGGCATCACAAGATATGAACAGCATGAAGCTGGTACGATATATGATATATACCTATATATATATACATATATATTGACATTTGATATGTGACATATGACATATGATATATGATAAGATGGTCAAACTACGACCCACGGATGTCCGACTTTGAATCACCCCAAAAGCCTCAAGATCTCCATTTTCAACTCACGCTCTGCGTGTTTTTTTGCGGCTGACCTGTCAGCTGTGAAGGACCAGACCTCAGTGCCAGTGCGATGTCACTAGGTTCATCATTTGCCATGGCATTTACGGCAAGCACTCTGTGTGCCATTTTTGGACGATTGTTTTTATATGATTACATTGTTTATATAATGTCAACAACAATATATGTAAAAGCCTAGTTACTGAATTGGGGGGATGCCCGCAATGGTAATTTGCTGTGAATGGCAGTTGTCAGTCCTGCCAGGGAGTCATCCAAGATGGGAAGCTCCTCTTCAAGATCATCTTTTGAGACAACTGGGCACAGTTCCTCATCATCGCGCAAAGAGCTCAGGGTCCAATGGTGATATTGATGGGACATGTATGGAAATTTGTCTATGTGTGTTTTCAGCACTTTCAAATATTCATGATATATAATTATGTAAATTCATGGTTCTGGTTGCATATACTGTGGATATCAATGAAATTCCAAAAAATTGTTGATTCATGTTGGCTCATGTCATTCAGAATCCAAATCTCGGCTCAAGGTGGCCCACCACAGAATCCTGAAGATGCTCGAAGAGAACAGGCAGAGGGTTCGATTGTCGATTCAGCTTTAGAGAAAGATTAGCAGTGCTGAAGACGATCCACTGGCCTTAGACTTTGCAAACAGTGTCACAAGGGCTCAGCGGGGCCAAATTGATCCAAGCAGAGTAGAAAGTGTTGCATCAATTTGGATCAAAAGTACCCGAATTTTGGCCCCTCTAAGATACCTTTGCATATCCACGCATACGCTAAACTTTTTCAAGGCCCTACGGGCCAAGTCATGATCCATACTACCCTTTGTCCCAAGATAAATCAGGATAGAAATGCAAGAATGGAAGAAGATATATATAATATAAGATAGGAACCGCTTGGAATAAGAAAATTTAAGATAACATAAGAAGATCATCAATACTAATCAATTATATAGTTACTTGCTAGCAACCATTGATCAATCCAAAGTAGCAATCCAAAACAGATATTGTTACCAATAGCAGTTTAAGATTGTCTTCATGAACCACTACTGCAACTAGTGCTATTCAATACAATAGGTGCTTGTTTCATTGTAGGTCTTTCCGTTGCAAGGCTGTTTCCGTACGACCGCTGGCCCGCAGGAACGTCAGGACGAACAGCTGGCCCGCAGGCTGATGATGGAGGCGCAGGGGCGATGGGAAAATGTGGGAAAATCTTCAACAACTACTGGGAGGAGGATTTACCATCCCCTAATGATGAAGATTGATCATGATTTATCTACAGTAGTGAAGCGACTATGTTCATTATCTTTTTTTTTGGTGGGGGTCCGCGTTTTACCCAGAGATGATTCGGAAGAAGGAGATCATATGAGCGGGACAGAGTTGCAGAAGAAGTGCGATGCATAAGCAATGATAGGGATGATGGGTGTGGCAGTCGGGAAGGGAAGTGAACAAGTGAAGTATCATGAATGAAGCATGGATGATTGACGCAAATCAGCACCAGAGTCAGGCAAACCTTCAAGGCTTCACATGCCAACCTTCAAACCTGTCAGCCGCCAGGAGATGGCAAGCTTAAGCCTCGCAGGACGGTGGAATAAAATTCCTTGGGTTTATTGATGTTTGCTCCACAATTTATGGATGTTTATGGCAATTGACGACTGGTATCTTCTTGTAGCCCATCAGTAGCGCCAGGACCTCAGCAAATCCCTGAGGCCTCGGGTACAGCTGGTGCGGTTGCGTCAGTGGCATGTTGTGACAGCTGAAATCACCCTGTGCCAGGCACCATCCCCTATGATGTTGCGAGCTCTTTGCCCCTCGTGTGGTTGTGCAAATACGTCCAGGGCCCAGCTGGTCAAGATGTTGGGACTGCAGACATGGGGGGATTGAACAGCTTGTCTGGACGTACTGGCACGTGTCATCTGAAGTGCTTGCTGTTCATCCAAAAAGATTGAGCCGATGACAGATGTAGGCAAAGCGTAGAAGGTTCCCACGGTTTTGATGCCAACAAGTATCTGAGAACATGGACACGATTTTGTTTGTTTGGAAAAAAAACAAAGGGACTTGTGACAAGAAACCTTAGTTGAGCCAAGTATTGTTGTACCCTGTTGATTGGTGAATAGAGATGGTTATTAATCTACCTTGTAATCATATTATATTTATATATAATTGAATATAATTGATGTTGCTTATGGAGATTACGAACTAATTACCCAATAATTCGTTGGGATCTCCGGGATACCGCCCGCTGCCTTTTTTCCCAGGTTTTCGCCTCCAGAGATGCGCGAGGCCCGACTCCGATGTAGCAGCTGTGAGTTCCAATTTCAGGCCGGGCGGCGAGACATGGCGGCGAGGGATAGCCATTCCACTGGGACGAATACGCGCAAAAAGCATTAAAAAGCCGAATGTGAATACGCTCATTGAGAGCTCATCCGAAACTCCCTCAGCACATTCACTATGGAGTGGTCTAGAATCCCAGCTCTCCTCAACTGCTAGGCTGCCATGCCGAGAGAGTCTGCATCTCAGATCGCATGCTGGTATCAGCTGCATGTCACTGTGGCCAAAGATATCTGATATACTCTCTCAATTTGACATAGTTATGTAAAATGGCCCATTTATAGATGACTTACGTAGCTCGCGGGCACTGCCCTCAGAAAGCTGGAAAGAAAGTAATAGAAAGTACCTATGAAAACGGATGACTTTCCATTGCTATGTTAACTTACCAGAAGCTATTTGAGTGCCAGCAAGGGAAACAAAAGAAAGTTGCTTCGACATGCCGAGGCTATTGCAGCGTAATCAGCCAAGAGCCCGGCCGGGCTTACAATTGTGCAGGAATTGCGGTGAGAAACTCAGCGGCATGGGCCTTTTACGTGTCCAACCATGGGTCAGACCTAGACCAAGACCATTGGACCATTGGCTTGCTGAAAATAACTGTTTAACAAAGCAGGTATGTACTCCATGTACTCCACTTTGTTGCCGGACTCATCATGGCTGAAAAATGCTAGAGATACGGCTGATGTTTGCCACGGCTGAGGCACTCTAAATAGTTTCCCAGCGGCCGTTCCGGGTCAAGCACAGCAAGTGAGCTGTGGCAGATGCGGACACGTCAGTGAGGTCCAGAAGGGACAATGGGAATTGGATGGTTGGGACGAAAACTCTCGGATCATACCGTGGTATAAGACGTATTAAATGATTTAAAATGTGTCATGGTCTATTATGGGAACCTGATAACCTAAGAATACCCAAGAATTTGAATGAATGTCCAATCATATCATCATATCCCCAATCTACATGTCATATCCCCAGGTGGAGTCCCGGGAACTGCGACATGGAAATGGACTCCGGAATAATCAAGCTGCTGGATTGCTGGCAGCGTCAGCCCCACATGATTGCCATTGCAGCAGCCAGAACTCATGGCCGTGGTCCACTGCTGAAACACTTCGGCCAGGCTCTTGGCAGATCCAAGACTCCTGTCTGATCAGCGGAATCTGCATGATGGACCTGTGGGTGCGGACTTCCAGCACCGCTGGGTGCGTGTGGCGTTTGGCTTGTTCTGATGTTTGAATCAATAGATATCGATAGGATAGGTTAGATTTGGTTAGATTAGATTGATAGAGAAAGATAGATAAACGAAATGAAACGTAAATACGTTGATTCAGCTGTTGTATAGATATGGACGTGGAATGATGTGGATAGGTGTTGACTCGTGTTGGTCTCACCTTTCCTTTTCGACTTCGGTGCTCGTCACCGTGCTCGCTGTGCTCGCTGCTCAGTCCGTATCCCGATCGATGGTCAGCGTCAAGCAGTTCCTCTGGAATCTCGGCCCTGTTTCGCCTCGAAATTCATGTTGTGACCATTTAGAGGTTTCCTAAAATGGGGGTACCCCATATCATTCAAAATTAGACCCAAAAAATCGACCATTTGAGCATTTTTCAACATAGCCATGGCTTTGATCCACCATCACAACCCATTTCAAGTACCCTCTGGTAAACTAACATAACTATGGAAAATCACCATTTTTGATGGGAAAATCCACTATAAATGGCCATTTTCAATAGCTATGTTAGTTTACCAGAGGGTAGATTTGATGGATGTTCAAGAGAAGCCAGTGATTTCATTGGATGGTTGGAGGTTGCCAACTGCAGGCCTTGCTCGCAGCCATCATGGCAAGAGCTGAAGCTGATAAGTCAAATCCTGCCAGAGGCCGACGTGCAGATTTGCTCCGCTGGTTTTACCCTTCACATATATATATATAATTATATATATATAACATTATATAACTATTATAATATATATATATATGTTGCCTCATGGTCTCCAAACCAACTATGTTTCAATGTTGGCACGTAAATGGTGATGTTGCTTTTTCCAAAACTAAATTCAGATTGTGGCAGCAATGGAGCTTTGGCTGCAATGCAGTGGTTGCCACAACATCAGCTTCAAGCCACGTGTATTTTAAAAAAAATGTACATGTTTTCCATAGTTTGGTCATGTTTGGTCTATGGTGAGCTTAGGTACTATGATTTTCTCCCGGAAATTTGAGGGAAGTTACAGGCGGACAAATCCAGCCACCTCTCACGGCTTCACAGCCTGATATCCTGGCCAGGTGGTGATATTGCGAACCTTCCGACGTTGGATCCTCGGGTGATGGTGGAGCGCTTCGCGCGTTTATTAGAACGCCTTGAAACAAGTAAGGGACTGCTGTTGATTCTTCACGTTCCTATGTTTCGACAATGGCAAGAACTGGAGACTCTTCGGCCTATCTCTGGCTTCCGGGAACACAACACCCCGTGTTGGCGGTTTCAAGTATGTTACTGTTGTTTTTGTTTCATCCCTAACATCATGGGGATCATAATCCCCAACCATTGTTCTGAAAGGGTGTTAAGCATCCCAGATCAATGCCTGAGGCGAAGGTTGGAAAACACAAACCACTTGGGGGAACAGACAAAGTGTCTTGGCACTGACTTGGAAAACCTGGTAGCCATGAGCCATTGGGAGCCGTGGTGTTGGAGATGCTGTTTGCAATGGTTTACATGTGTGTGTGTATACATATACATATATATATATACACACCCTCCAGTAAATTAACATAGACCCTGCCAGATAGGGGTTGGAAGACTAGTTTCCACTATAAATAGGTCATTTTCAGGGTCTATGTTAAAATTACCAGGGGGTACATTATAATGTGTATGTATATATAACTATGTGCGTGTGTCTATGTTCTGAAGCAACGGACAACGATGCTCAGGTGCTTGATATGCTTAGAAGAGTTCGCCGACGGCGACGAGCTGAAGACGCACCTGGGCATGGCAACTGGGGGATATCTAGAGCCTTGTACCTACGCAACAACCGACCAAGCATGAGCCACCTAAATTCTCGCAGATGGCAAGTGTTCGGAGTTCACTTTGAGGGGCAAGTATGGGCAAGTGGGATTATGTCCAACATGTGCACAGAAGAATGGAAGAATGGAAGACTCACCACCTGAATTGTTCCTGGCAACTTGCTTTGTTTGGCGTTTCATCGCAGTAAAGGTTTGTCGGAAATTGCTGGTCATCGTTGGCTACATGTGGGGTGGGTGTCGCTTCGTCATTGAGCATCATCCAGAATCATCCATCAAGACACCAGAAAGTGACGCTCATTGATTGACAAGTAGGATATCCCCTGATCTCTTTGACTATTGAGACCCCGGAAGACTTGTAAGACATGCTCCTAGCTATCTTGGTGCGGCCTTGTTCAATGATGAGTTCCGCCAGCATCCGTTTGCTGTTTCAGTGGCCCTTCAGGCTTCCTTGCTTGCACTTTTACCACCAGAGGTACGCGTCCCGGTAGTGGCGTTTGGGAAAATGGAAACAGCCGCGATTTGAGAACAGGTCTAGCTTGCCAGGACTTTGTGAGATATTATGTGTAATTCACCAGGATGGGTCCTTTGTCTATGGAAAAACAGGATGGGTCCATGACTTCATGGGTTCCGAAGAACTTTGGTTTTGACACGAAGAATGACAGATGGGCAATGTCATATCACATATGTTATTTGGAGATATTTGGAGTCCATTCAAGCCAACAAATCCAAAGGGAGGTTCTGGCATCATTCCAGCCATTTCTTACAATTCCTTGGTTGAACTGTGGTGAATCTCACTGAAGATCAGGTGTGTTGATCAATGGCTTCGCACTGACAATTCTTGTCCGGTGTGTGCGGGAGCTCAGAGTGGGTTTCCAGCTGGTGCTGGTTCCAATGGCGACACCTGGGCGTGGCCTCCAAATCCATTCTAATCGGATCCATTGTAAACCATCCAGCTATTGGGGTGCCCACATTTTAGGAAGCCTCCATATGGTAGAAATGGTGATAAGGTATTTTTCCCAAGAAGACAGCTTCAATGGATGAACTGAAGCTGTCTTGAACCTTAGGCAAGCACCCGATTGGGGAAGATATCATGCCTGTGGGGTGACTGCATTTCCGTACGAATCAAAAATTAAAATCTGAAAAATATAATTTGATTTTATAATTGATAGATTAATCAAATCAATATTAATAATTAAAATATATATAATTAAATATATTTATATTATATATAGATTATAAATGATTATAAATTGAATAAATTTAAAATTTATTAAATATATTCGAATTAATATTATTTAAATATATATATATATTATAAATAAAATTAAATTTTTAATAATTTTTTAAATTAATCATATTTGAAATATTATTATAATAATATTTGAATAATTAAAAATATATATTAATTTGAAATATATTCTATTTATATTAATGTTAATATTATTAAATATATTATAAATAATAAATAAAATAAATTTATAATATTT